AATTGTCTGACATTTTTATAATTCAGAAAATGTAATTTTTATGTGGAAGCATTCATGTTTTCAAGGCTGACAAGTTAACAATATATCCTAATCCCTTGACAGAAATAAAACGCAGCCATGGACCAAATTTAGCTAATCAGCCAGTAGTTTGCACCTCTGAATCGAGATCAGCCAATCCTTAACAACTACCTGTATTTTGCTTGATAAAATCAAGAGTGGTGCTTCTTTTTTTGCGACAGCTTTCCCATCAGAACACAAGTGTGAAAACCACTGCTAAACCTAAATCAAAATAGGAAAGGAAAAGACTCACATCAACATCATTGCCATTGGACACATAGATTTGGGCAAGTCTACCACTACTAGTCATATGATCTACAAATGCGGTGAGACCAACAAAAGAACTATCGAAAAATTTGAGAAGGAGGTTCTGAGATGGGAGAGGGCTCCTTCAAGTATGCCTGGGTATTGGGTAAACTGAAAGGTGAATGTGAACTTGGTACCACCATTGATATCTCCCTGAGGAAATTCAAGACCAGCAAGTATTATGTGACCATTGTTGATGCCTCAGGACACAGAGACTTCATCAAAAACATGGTTCCAGGCACATCTGAGGCTGACTGTGTGGTCCTGATTGTTGCTGCTGGTGTTGGTGAATTTGAACCAGGTATCTCCAAGAATGGGCAGACCCATGAGCATGCTCTTCTGGCTTACACACTGGGTGTAAAACAACTAATTGTCAGTGTTAACAAAATGGATTCTACTGAGCCAATGTACAGCCAGAAGATATACAGGGAAATCGTTAAAGAAGTCAGCACCTACATTAAGAAAATTGGCTACAACTCTGACACAGTAGATTTGTGCCAATTTCTGGTTGGAATGGTGACAACATGCTGAAGCCAAGGGCTAACATGCCTTGATTCAAGGAATGGAAAGTCACTCATGAAGATGGGAATGCCAGTGGAACCACACTGCTTGAAGCTCTGGATTGCATTCTGCCACTAACTCGTCCAACTGATAAGCCCTTGCGTCTGCCTCCCCAGAATGTCTACAAAAATGATGGTATTGATACTGTCCCTGTGGGCCAAGTGGAGATTGGTGTTCTTAAGCCTAGCATGGTGGTCACCTTTGCTCCGGTCAATGTTACAATGGGAGTAAAGTCTATTGAAATGCACCATGAAGCTTTGAGTGAGGGTCTTCCTGGGGACAATGTGGGTTTCCATGTCAAAAATGTAGCTGTCAAAGATGTTTGTCATGGCAATGTGGTTGGTGACAGCAAAAATGACCCACTGATGGAAGCAGCTGGCTTCATGGCTCAGATGATTATCCTGAACCATCCAGGCTAAATCAGTGCTGGATATACACTTGTGCTGGATTATCACACAGCTCACATTGCTTGCAAGTTTGCTGAGCTGAAGGAGATCATCATCATTCTGGAAAAAAGCTGGAAGATGGACCCAAGTTCTTGAAATCTGGTGATGCTGCCAGTCTTGATATGGTTCCTGGCAAGCCTACGTGTGTTGAGAGCCTCTCTGACTATCCTCCTCTAGGATGTTTTGCTGTTTATGACATGAGACAGATGGTTGCTGTGAGTGTCATCACAGCAGTGGACAAGAAAGCAGCTGGAGCTGGCAAGGTCACCAAGGCTGCCCAGAAATCTCAGAAAGCTAAATGAATATTATGCCCAATACCTGCCACCCCAGTCTTTATCAGTGATGAAGGAATTGTCTCAGAACCGTTTGTGTCAATTGGCCATTTAAGTTTAATAGTAAAAGACTGGTTAATGATAACAATGAATCATAAAACCTTCAGAAGGAAAGGAGAATGTTTTGTGGACCATTTGTTTTGTGTGTGTGTGTGTGTGTGTGTGTGTGTGTGGCAGTTTTAAGTTACTAGTTTTTAAAATCAGTACTTTTTTAATGGAAACAACTTGACCAAAAGCTGTCACAGAATTTTGAGACCCATTAAAACAAAAGTTTAATGATAAAAAAAAATCAGCAGTGGTATAACTTGTCTAATTGAATGCAAACATCAAAACCTAGAAGAAAAATGTGTGTACACAGATGAGGTAAAGAACCTTAGCATGCGCCTAAGGGGTTCTTTGTTCCTTACAGGGAATCAATTATGCCTCATGTTTTGTTATGACACACATAGCATAGTTTCTGTCACATAATAGGCTTTAAGTAAATGTTTAATGAATAACTGAGCTTTAAAGAAAATTTTGGTTACTCTGAGGATTATACTCATACTTGTTAGCATAAAGAAGTAGCAACCTATAAAATGTAGGGTTAGCATAGAAAGTAAGAACCCTTAGGGCGCGTGGGTGGCTCAGTCACTTGGGCATCTGACTCTTGATTTCGATTCAGGTCATGATGTTGGGGTCATAAGATTGAGCCCACATTGGGCTCTACGCTGAGTGTGGAGCCTGCTTTGGAGATTGCTTCTCTCTCTATGTCTCTGCCTCTCTCTGTGTGTCTCTCATGAATAAATAAATAAAATCTTTTTAAAAATTTTTTTAAAGTAAGAAACCTTAATATTTTCCATATTATCAAAAGATATATAGATAGATATTCTAACAATCATTATGTTGCACTGACCAATAAGATCTTTTATAATGTAAGGGGCAAAGCCAGATCTTAACTTGAAACTGTAATATAACAACCTAAACCAAGTATTTGTAAATTTTTATGTTACAAAGTGCTTTCAGTATGTGATTTCTCTTATCATCAGAACATTTCTCTAAGGTAGATAATACCTTCATCTTAGAGATGGAAAACTTGAACTACGAAGGAAGCTAAGCAATTTTATAAAGACTTTAGAAAAGTCTTTAGCAGAAAATTAGCTATCGAACTGAACTTAATCTTTCAGCCCATGATGGTTCTCCCCTGAAAAGGAGACAGTGTGAAGTGTGACAATAAGGCATAGAATCAGATGAATTAAATATTCACAATGGCATCTTCATAAACAGGATGTGGAGGAAATTACCTCTGTGTAGTACAGAAGAGGGTGGTAAGAATAAGTATAGAAGGAAAGTATAGTATTTTTCAAGAAGGTGTGTAGACATCAGGGCACCTTATTCATCATGACTCCAGTTGCATGTTGGGTAAATCATTCAGCAAAATGAGACAGATTAGTTTGACATGTGTTGTTTCACTTAGAAACACATTGCTCTGTAATATTTTCATTTCCTACATATATCTGTCTACCTCACTACAGTGGAAATTTCATGAAGGTCAGAGGCTAAAACATAAGAGTTCTTTTTTTTTTTATTTATGATAGTCACAGAGGGATCCCTGGGTGGCGCAGCGGTTTGGCGCCTGCCTTTGGCCCAGGGCGCGATCCTGGAGACCCGGGATCGAATCCCACGTCAGGCTCCCGGTGCATGGAGCCTGCTTCTCCCTCTGCCTATGTCTTTGCCTCTCTCTCTCTCTGTCTCTCTGTGTGACTATCATAAATAAATAAAAATTAAAAAAAAAAGATTTTATGATAGTCACAGAGAGAGAGAGAGAGAGAGAGAGAGAGAGAGAGGCAGAGACATAAGCAGGCTCCATGCACCAGGAGCCTGATGTGGGATTCGATCCTGGGTCTCCAGGATTGCGCCCTGGGCCAAAGGCAGGCGCCAAACCGCTGTGCCACCCAGGGATCCCCTAAAACATAAGAGTTCTTAAAGCACTCTCAACCGAGGAGAAATTGAATGCTTTGATTGGTTAATGGGCAACATATATATTGGTGACACTGGAGCACAATGGTTAAGAACACAGGACTTGAAGTCAGTAGATCTGTGTCTGAAACCACCTTCTGTCAACGTGTAGCTGTGCCTATGGGCAAGTTACTCCACCTCTACGAGTCACATTGCCCTCTGTAAAAACAAATGGGGTGACAGTGATAAAACTGAACCTTAAGTTTGTAGTGAGAATTAAATAAGTTAATGCTTATATATATATAAAAAAAAAAACAGCAGGATGGTGGGTACCTGACATACACTCAATAAATGCTTCGTTACTGCAACATACTGAAGTTTCAAGTTCGGGAAAGTGCTGGAGCTACATGCTGATCTCTGCAAGTTTGAAGAAGAAACATTTGGTTGGTTCTCAAAAACAAAGTTATTAGATGCTGAGAGAAAATCTTTAAAAGCGACCCAAAAGGTATTTTTAAAACAAACTTTTAATTTTTTCCACATGCCGTCTGGAATACAGTAATAGAACAAAGAAGAAAAAGGCACAAATGCAGCGTGCCTTGCTATCCACGCAGAGGATCACAAACAGAAGCAGTTTGCAGACGCAAGCTCGCGGACTGAGAAAACTGGGTGGCATGCCAAGGTTTGCACAGAAGTGAACACCTGAGATTTGGCCGGTCACAGAGGAGACGTTCAAAAGAAGGAACATGTGCAACATTCTTTTTGAGTAATTTTCCCTGTTCCTGGAAAGAAACAACTATTTCACAAATTAATTATCTTATCAAAGTCCAGCCACTTTTTTTCTAGCATGCTACTGGTGCTTCGCTCTTTCATCGTCCAAGGTATGTTTTCAGACCCGAATTGCTCCTACGCACAGGCAAAAGGAACGCAATGGTCCAAGTACATTAAAATGAGAGAAAAAGAGAATGCTAATTTCTTCAAAGGGAAATAACACACAGGGAGTGCCCGCCATCACACTTAGAGTGGTATCTCGGACAGAAAGCTAGAGCCAAGCCATTGAAACACCTTCTACTCAAAAGAAGCAGAAAAAAAAAAAAAAAAAAAAAGAATCACCACAGAGCAAGTACCACACAACCATTTAGAAGAGAAGCCGGTGCCAAAGTAAGGTAACTGACTACTCCCCTGACACGTCTCCTTTTGGGTCCTTAGTATCTACAGGATCCAGTCAACGCCTCCTGAAAACTTCATGAAGGAACGTGTTGAACACTGAATTTTCATTTCTGGCTCAAGCAGAGAAACGCCAGGGAACCTCCTCAGACCCAACCGGAAGGACCCGCCCTCGGAAGCGGAAGTCCCCGATGTCGCCTCAGAGGACGTCCTCCATCTCTCCGCGGCTTCCTTCCGGTTCCGGGTTCAAGGCCACTGGCCTGGGAGACTCGGCGGCGGGCATCTCGTCGCCCAGCCTCGCGTTCCCTGCCGTGGGCTCCTCGTGGATCGAGTGTGACGGGCCGTCGTGCTCCGAGTGACTCCACACGTAGCCGGGTAGAGTCACGTGGCTGTCGGGCTGGCGGCCGGCCGGCCTGGGCGTCTTGCCCGACAGGAGCACCATGCGGGTGCTGGCGGCGGCCTGCGACTGGCTGCTGGTGCTGTGGGTCAGCGTGGTGAGCACGGAGCCGTACCTGTGGCCGCCGCACGGGGGCGTCCTCTTCCAGTCGATGGAGAGATGCCACCGACTCCACAACTTCTTCACCTCAGACTGAACCTAGGTGGCGGGAAACACAGAGCGTCAGGCGCCGTGGGCGAGACCCTGCAGCCTTGTTACACCGACGATGGCCCTTCCGTGACCGCAATCCCTGAGTGTCCGCCGCGCCAGGGACTCCATGTACATATTCTCTCCCAGCCTCCAGACACCTTGGAGCTAGGTGGGCTAGCGGAGACGAATAACGGGAGGCGGCGAGAGGTGAAGGGGCCTAACCCAAGACTAGCGTTTGCACAGAAGTTGAAGTGCTGCCCGTGGAAACAGCTGGCTTGCGGCGCCTGGGTGGCTCAGGCGGTTAAGGGGCACACTCTTGGCGTCAGCTCAGGTCATGATCCCAGGACCAGGATGGAGCCCAGGTAGGCTCCCCTCTCATAGGGAGTCGGTTTGGGAATTTTTCTCCCTCTCCTCCCACCTACCCCACCCCTGCTTGCAATCTCTCTGTCTCTCAAATAAATGAACCAAGGAAGGAGAGGAAGGGAGGGAGGGAGGGGAAAGAAAGAAAAGAAAAAGAAAGAAAGAGAAAGAAAGAAAGAAAGAAAGAAAGAAAGAAAGAAAGAAAGAAAGAAAGAAGAGAAAGAGAGAAAAGAAAGAAGGAAAGAAAGAGAGAAAGAAAAGAAAGAAGGAAAAGAAAGAAAGAGAAAGAAATTGATCCGACTTGTGGGAGAAGGAAAAGAAGATTCTGGGTTGAAAAGAAGGAGAGATAAATAGTGCCAGGAATGGCATGGAAGGTACTCAACCTAAATTGTAACACTAGCACTTTGCATGGCGCATCCCGAAGGAGGAAAAAATGGGAAAAGCCATCCCTGCAAATGCATTCTTAATGGAGAGAGGCTCCTGCTTCCAACCTGTGGTTGAAGATTCAATTCTACTGCTATTGCCATTTACCAGAAGGGAGCTTATCTGGAAGTTCCGTGGGAAACAGTGGCACTTGGTAAGTTGATGTCACCTAAAACAACAGTAGGGCTGCTTGTCTCCAGCTAACCCCTACAGGAACTGAAAGCGTCACCATGAAGTAATTCTAAAAATATCAAAATATTCTCATGGACTTGTCCCAAGAACACTTATTTTTTAGTTTCTTATAGAACATGACATTGAGTATAAGTATTAACTGGAATATGAAATGCACTGTCCTTCCAAGTATCGATTTACATTCCAACAAGGTGGCTCTTTGCTATCAGAGTTTCCAACTGAATTAACATTGAAAAGTGCCAGAAGAGGAAGAGTCTAGCTTATTTACATTAATTCTTGCTTTCTCGAAATATCTCCTTTCTCCATGCTCACTGTTTCCTGTAACTCCGGGGGATCCTAAAGAGATTCCGGTCACACTGTAATGGCCATTTACCAAGCTTACTTGGAGCTGGCCCTGTGGGATGTTCAGGGGTTCTTCAAACCTACCTCCCCGTTGCAGTAGCAGTAGATGATAGACACGAAAAAGCCCTGGAGAATAAGAAAGAGGTTAGCATGTGGACAACTCGTGAAGATCACAGCAACTGAGATGTCCTGTGTCACAATAAGTACATTGAAAAACTGGATTGTGTTATGATTCCTTCAGAAAATTACATGAACTATTCTCTTCTGGTGTCTCCAGATCTTTACGTTTATATTACATTTGTCTGAGATCCTTCCTTGGTGTCAGCGGAACCAAACAAGTAACTGAATAAAACACTCCAAGACACACAGAAATAACTGATTTCTATTATATTAGTTTCATTCATGTTGTCACTCAAGGACCACAGAATATCCCCTGGTCGGTAAAAGATATTTATATACTGTGAGTGCTGGAAACTATAGACAGAGGCTAATATATGGTAAAAGGACAAAGAAACTTTTTGTCTCACTCATTCAAAAATATTTATTGAGCTTATACAGGGCAAACTGCTCAGCATGCCAGGGATAAACAATTCAATCAAGACAAACAAGGTCCCTGTTCCCTTAGAGCTACATTCTAGAAGGAAATACAGATGATAGGTAAAATATAAACAACTAGCCACACTAGAAAAATGTGAGATAATAAGGGCTCTCCAGGCAAAACAAGTGGTGTGAAAGAGAAGAATGGAGTAGACTGAATGGGAAGCCCAATGAAGACTGCTTTGAAGAGATGGCATTTAAGCTGGTTTCAGTGACAAGAAGAAGCCAGGCCTTGTGAATATTAGCGGAGAGAGCTTTCCACACAAAGGGAGCAAGCCCCTGAGACAGGAATGAGCTAGAGGAGCAAAGTGTGGAAGCACTAGTGTGACTCAAACTTAGTGGGTGACCAGAAGCGTGATGTAACACCAGGATCCCTGCCATGCAGGGCTGTGCACACCAGCAAATCGTGTTTGGGCTTTATTCTGAGTGCAATGGGAAACCTCTGGGTACTTCTGGTAGATAAATGAGGTGATCAAATTTATTTTTAAGACCTTTCAGAGGGATGCCTGGGTGGTTCAGCAGTTAAGCATCTGCCTTCAGCCCAAGGTGTGATCCTCGAGTCCTGGGATCGAGTCCCACATCAGGCTCCCTACATGGAGCCTGCTTCTCCCTCTGCTTATGTCTGCCTCTCTCTCTCTCTCTCTCTCTCTCTCTCTCTCTCTCTCATAAATGGATAAGTAAAATGTTAAAAAAAAAAAAAAAAGATCCTTCAGACTATTGCACAGAGACTAGATTTAAGGCGGCAGGGGGTGACAGCGAGTAAGTAGCCAGGAGGAGGAATCAGGTGTCCTCAGAAAGCCATGTGAGGGATGATGGTGATCGTCTTTTCAAATGTGATGAAATGTGTAGAAGCTACTTCCTCTTTGTTGTCTCCCTTTCCCTTTTTCCCTTCCTTCCCTACCTTTTTTTATTCCTTTGGCTTCCATCTGCTTTCCATACATTCACGCAGAGGCCCCTGCTCTGCATGCAGCACACATTCTACAACATGCTTGCCTGTCTCGCTGCCCAGGCGTGTTTGTGAGAAGCAGCTCCTCCTCTGGTCAGAGGTGAAAAGCATGGGCTCCAGGGCCCTCTGGGGACAGGTACATGAAAGCCAGAGACAGGGGCAGAGGGCAAAGTTGCAAGGGGAGAAGAGAAGCAAAAAGCAAGAACCACATAACGAACTGGCTACTCTCTACCTGGAAGGAGTTGAAGAAGAGTTCACAGTGCATCCGGATCTCCCAGCCCAGCCCCACGAAGGTGTGGGGCAGGCACAGGAACACGATGTAGTGCACTCCGAAGACCAGCACCAAGACCAGGGTTGATTTGGCCAGTTTCCTGAAAGAGAATGCCAAGTCTTTTTATTCATCCATTGAGAGTGCCCATCAGGAGGGACAACTTGCTGGGGGGGGGGGAATGAAGCCGAGGAGAGCTAACGGGCTGACTTCTCCCCATCTCTTGGGATCCCAACTTCCGCTAGTTTTTTTTTTCCCCTCCCTCCTCTCCCTGTCACTTTTATACTAAAATCAAATCATTTATCCTCATTTCCCATGATTACTATCCCTTACATCTCTCTAATCTCATTCCCATTCTCCTGACATAGGATACTATCATCATGAAGCCATGAAATGTCCTTTTTTTCCGTCCTAAATTTATTTTAACATCTATGCTTGAGATTTCAACTCTTTTAGCATCTAGATTTGAGACTTCAACAAGTATTACTCCCATCCATGTTAACTGTCTACTACGCTTGTTTTGTTCATTTTAAAATTAACTACTCTCTAGTTTCTTCTTACAGTTGAATCTGCATTAATCACTTCATATTTTCTTATGAGCTGCATGTGGTCAATACTTTCTCTAAATATCCTCTGTCAAATATTCTACAAAAATCTACAGTTCTGGATTTTCTGCTCTTTTTTTTTTTTTTTTTGGCAAGCTAAGCAATTTGACTTTATTTTTCTGTAACTACCTCTTCATATACATTTTCTTGTGTATCTGGAGGAACGCCAGATTTCCAAGGTGTTGGTTGATCCTAAAATGGCCCCCAATGATCCCCACCTGGTATTTACATTCTTGTTAATCCTCTCCCCTTGAGTGTGAACAAAGACCTGGAACTTGCTTCAAACGATTACAGCCAAAAGGATGGGATGTCACTTCTGTGATTATGTTTTATAAACTGTAGCTTTTATTCTACTCTAAGAGAGCAAACTCTCTCCTTTGTTTGGTTCAATGAAGCAACTAATCATGTTGTGAGCTACTCTACTGAGCGGCCCATGTGGCAAGGAGAGGCGGCATCGGCCAACAGCTAGCAAGAAACTGAATCCTGTCAACAATTTCATAAGCTTGAAAGTGGGTTCTTCCCCAGTCTTAGGATAAAACTGCAGTCCTGACTGCCATCTCAGTTGAGCCTTATAAGAGATCCTGAAGCAGGAGATCCAGCTAAACCATGCCCAGATTCCTGACTACAGAAACTGTGAAATAGCAAGAGTGTTGTTTTAAGCCACAGATGTTTGTGGTCATTTGCACAATAGACAGCTGGTAGACCCAAGCACATCACTGGTTTCTTTTGTACTTTTTATCCAATAAACTGCCAAATTTGGCTTCCTCTTTCATATTTCTCAAATACTCCCTTCTTTACACATCATTTGTACTTCAGTAATCTCAAACAACTACAACCCTCTCCCTTTCTTACTGATCTTTCCTGCAGCTACTTTTCTTCTCTCCTTCCTTATTTATGTACTTACTTATATACTTATTTAGTTTTCTTCTTAGAAATAAGCTGTGTGAGTGAGTAGAGATCACACTGAACTGAAACCAAACAGAACTGGATTCATGTTCCAGATTTTCCATTACTTTCTAAGTGATTATAATTCAGTTTTTTTTTTCTCTAAAATGAGGGAACAGGGCCCAGACATTTATAAGAGCTCTAATAGTCTAAGACTTTCCTAGGGCTCATCTTCCAAACACATCCACTTTCCTATCATAACCATCTTTCTGGCTCCTGCAGGAGCTGGGTGTCCCATAGAATCATATTGAAATGGCTAATCTAGGCATTTGAAGTTGCACATCTACCCCATCTCACTCTCCTCCTCTCGTATCTGTCACTAGTGTCCAAACCATCTGCTCCTCTTTGGCTCTGAGCCATCTACTCTGCCTCACACCCATAGTTTTCCTGGTGCGGCCTATAGGCTTTCTCTATGCTGCTCTAATCTCACACGTCCTACATGAACTAACCTATAGTCTACTTAATTTGAAAATTCTACCTTAAGTCTGTTTCATTCAAGGCAGCATCTCTGAAAAGGTAATGGATTTCTCTGACCTAACTCATCCTTTCGTTTTCCAGAGGCTCCTTGGGAAATGCTGTCCTCCTGAATCCTGACTAGTGACTACCCTCTTACCATCACTACATATATGAGCAAGACACTGTGTCATGTAATTGTAATTCAGTCTAATCAGGTAAGGGGGGACAGCATTAACTACACATACAGAACTTTAGAAGTCTTGTTTAACATGACTCTGAAAAGAAAGTTGAATTTCCTCCTTTAAGATGAATGGATGAATCCCCACCCCCACCAAGACAATTCTCAAAATCAAGCTAACTTTTATTGGTCCTATTGTGTGTGACTAGGAGCCAAAAACTAGAATAAAACAGGAAAGGAAGGAAGGAAGGAAGGAAGGAAGGAAGGAAGGAAGGAAGGAAAGAAGGAAAGAAGGAAGAAGGAAGGGAGGGAGGGAAGGGAAAGACAAATAAGTGCAACACAATGTGAAATTATAAACATAAAAGTTTAGGGACGGTTTGGTTCAATAAAGAGTAAAGAAAGTTATCCAAGACTAAAATTTAGTGGGAATCCTGCTAGCTCAGCCATCTGGGTTTTCTATCTATGACTAGGCTCTTTTACAATTCTGCAGAGATAAAAGTTAATTTATAGAAAACAGATAATAATTGAGTTCATTTTCTATTGCTACGAAACAGATTATCACAAATTTAGTGACTTAAACCAGAATCCATTTATTCTCTCTCAGTTGCTGAGAGGTCCTAGCCAGAGTCCCTCAGGTCTTAACCACAGACATTCCCAACATATCAGATTGCTTCTTCAAAGCCAGCAGAGGATCTCTCTCCACGTAGCCACAGGAGTGATTACCCCATCACCTTTCCAATATAATGTAACCTAATCAAGGGAGAAACTATTCCGGAGAAACTATTCCTTCATAGGTCTTGCTCAAGAAGGGGTGCGGAGGATGAGGATTATATAAGGCATGCACACCAGGGAGGTGGTAATCTTGCGGGGCGGGGGGGTGGCATGCATCTTAGAAATATGCCTACACAGCAGTGCAAATAATTCCTGCCCATAGAAATGTAAGTTGTGTCCAATGGAATGCCACTAATTATAGCCCTGTGGATATCAACAATTTGAATCCATTTGTAAATTCATTTTAGCATTCATAATTCTTTTAATTTAAGCGTGTGTAATGCCTTACCATTTCCTTCATTAATGAATGAAATAAAATCCTTGAAGTGTGTTCATTTATATTTGTATACGAGCTATTGTTACATGTTCTTTTAAAATTTATCCTTCAATGACCGTGAACAAGTTGAAGTAGTGGTATGTGCCAGGCCAATGCATACATGGGTCATCTGTCTGTTCACTTATAAAGATGGATTTTTCCACTCATATCAAATCATTCTGCTATCCTGGGCACTGATTTGTTCAGCATCCATCTGGTCACTCATGCACACTATACATCCTTGCAGCCCGGCTCTCTGGAAAGGAACGGCTGTCTAATGAGATGATCAGGGGTGCACCAGTTGAAAGTAGCATTCTGGCTTGTTGGAGACATGATGGTGGCTCTGCATCCAAGGGCAAAGCCATGGGAGGAATATAAAGAATCAAATGGTTTGTTGGACTCAGTGTCCTCTTTAGAAAATAGATACCCAATTCTTGCAATATCTCTCTCCCTAGGTGAAAAGAGCTGGAAAATTGCTACTTTTCTTTTAAGAGTCAACTTAGCTTTTTAAAAAAGTATTGTTTCCCTTAAGTCTTTTTCAATCCCTCTTGAGCTTGAATTAATCTTTCCTTTTTTCTATACAAATAACACTTTGTAAGTGTCTCTACTAGTACTCTCCTCACTTTAATCTCTCTCTCTCTCTCTCTCTCTCTCTCTGTCTCCCTCTCCCCCTCCCTCCCTCCCTCCCTCTCTCAAATTTGCTTTTCAAGTAGAAACCATATCTTCTTAATTTTGAATCTCTTGTGTGGCACAAGAAGGGCACCCAGTCAATGAAACTGTTGGCTATCATGCCCTTGTCAGATCCTGTACTGGTTGCCTCCTTTTACTCTGTTAACCATGTGGGAGAGCCATTATTTTCCCATGTCCAAATGAGGACAGAGGCTCAGAAAAGGAAAGTGTTCACCCAAAGTTAGACAATGAGTAGAGGATTCAACCTAAAAATCTGTCCTCCTTACTATCATATTGCATAAGAGATACTGGTTTAATTCATTCCAAAAATAATAAATAATAAATAATGATTTTTGGCTAGTACTGAATGAAAAGTCAAATTAGCCAAAACATTCAAGTATTCTTTTCCATTGAATCTTGCATTTTTCCTGTCTCATGTTCTTCCATCCTGGCAATCTTCTCTTACTTTGCAAGGGGACTGAGTTGTAATTTAAAAGAGAAAAAAAATGCATTAGTCCTGTTGTTGAATCTGATAAATTATTTTTTACACACCAATCTTTTTTTTAAGATTTTATTTATTTGACAGAGAGAGAGGGGGCACAGGAGCAGGGAAAGTGGCAGGCAGAGGGAGAGGGAGAAGCAGGCTCCCCATGGAGCAGGGAGCCTGATGCAGGACTTGACCCCAGGACCCTGGGATAATGACCTTAGCTGAAGGCAGATGCTTAACTGACTAAGCCACCCAGGCACCCCTAATACTTTTTTTAAATAACTGATGTGAACTACAGTTATGTAGAATATCACTTTCAAGGGAAACTGGGTAAACGGTATATATGTTATATATTACATATATGTGCATTATTTTTACAACTCTGTATTATGTGTATATATTATTTAATCTCTGTATTACTTTTATAACTGCATATAATTCTACAATTCTCTCAAAATAAAAAGTTTCTTAAAAGCTTTCGTATTAATTCACTTCAACTTTTTTTTTAAGATTTTATTTATTTATTCATGAGAGACACAGAGAGAGAGAGAGAGAGGCAGAGACACAGGCAGAGGGAGTGCTTCTCCATGCAGGGAGCCGGATGTGGGACTCAATCCCCGGTCTCCAGGATCACACCCTGGGCTGATGGTGGCGCTAAACCGCTAAGCCACCAGGGCTGCCCAGTTTATTTCATCTTTAAACCATCATATCAATGTAGGGATATCATGTACTTATTCCAAGTCTTTGTGTATGCGCATGCTCACTGGGAGAGACTCAGCTTCGAAAGATGTTTTCAGTCTTTCAGGGAGTAATATGCAAAGGAATGTGTTTTAAAAACTGTTTTAGGGATCCCTGGGTGGCGCAGCGGTTTGGCGCCTGCCTTTGGCCCAGGGCGCGATCCTGGAGACCCGGGATCGAGTCCCACGTCGGGCTCCCGGTGCATGGAGCCTGCTTCTCCCTCTGCCTATGTCTCTGCCTCTCTCTCTCTCATTCTGTGTGACTATCATAAATAAATAAAAATTTTAAAAAAAAAAACTGTTTTAGATGCTACCACTTGGAAATATAAATATAATATAAATATATTTTTTCATTGTTAGCAAGAATATTTGATATTTGAACATTTGTTTGACAAAGGTAATAACTAAATGAAATATAAGTTTAAAGGTACAAAAATGAGTGGGTATAAATTTAAATACTCAGCTAAACCTCATAGGTAGAATTTCACTGGGACAGAGACACAAATTACACTTTTCTAGGTTTCTTTATTTACAAAATGAGAAGCTATTTAAACTTGGTAATCTAAGGCCTCAGAAATTAAATACTAAATTGACCAAATCACTACCAAGTAAGTACTCACATTTTTCTTTCCAAAAAGAGTCATTCCTCGCAATATTTTTATCTGTAACTTAACTTTAGATATTAGTAAGAATACTTAATGTGTTTTGGCTATTTTTTTTAATGTTTTTGGCTGGAAAATACTTTTCCTATTATTAATCTAAACCCTATTCAAATTAATCACTCCAAACTTAAAAAAATTCTGGGCCCCAGATTACTTAAAATTTATTCTGAATTCTGAATACTAGACTATTTTAGTCCTTGATAAATTTTTCTCTTCCATTATTCTGAGAAATAATCCCGCATGAATGAATTCAAAATATTGTCTCTCCTATTTTTTAAGATAATTCACCCTTTGTTCTCTCCAGAGTTTTTCTAATCTCTTGACTAACTTTCAACTGAAAGTACAAGTTCATATCATTCAGAACTAGAGAAATAAGGAGCTTTTATTCAGAGCTAGAGAAATAAACAGCTTTCAAAAACCTTTGTACTGTTCCTCTTTACAGAGAAGACTGAAAACTATTTACATTTTCCATCATTCTATCATCCTTTGGCCTTTGTCTTCATCAGTGGAATGTGACATGAGACATGCTATATGAATATAGCAAAGGCCATTCACAGTAAACTCTTAGGCACAATTTACTTTATAACACTACTGCTGGTAGCACAATACAAATGACTGGAGCCTACTGCTGCTGGTTTGTCCATACTGTACATCCTATTCCAGACTTCAGTCCATACCCATCATCTTTTCTGCCTGACAGTGAATGTTGTCTAAACATAGAGGGAAATGACTCAACAAAGGGCTTCAAGAACATTTGTGACACAGGACCAAAATGCCAACTATGGTTTCTTCCTTTCTGTGTCTCAGATAGCATTTCATAACAATTCCAGACAGAAACAGTGATTGCTTTGGGGTTATACAGATCAATCCACATCCACCAGACTACTGGATATGTGTATTCAGTTGGATAGAGGCTGCTGTTATTCAGAACTCCTAAACTGATCATTGGAAAAAAGGTGTACACCCTCAAGATAGTTTGATGATGATCATAAACACTCAATTTGCCCTTTTCTTCTTGAAAGACTGAATAATCTTAAAAATTTATATTTGGTATGGGCCAGTATGATGGACAGACTGGAAACAACACAGCAAATCTACTTTCTTGGTATTTTCAGTTTTGACATATTATTTTAAGAACACAGGTAAAATTGTCTGCCAAGATCATCCACAAGAGACTTTCCAGGAAGTCACATAGTTTATGGGAAAATCCCAATCTGCTAAGAACAGATTTAAAAAAATTATACTTAATACTTAAAATTTAAGCACATTAAGAAGATTTTGGATTACTTAGATTTTCATAAAATACATACACTTTTCTGATAAATTGCACAATTAAACCAAATGAAAATTCATATTAATTTTTAAAATTCAATTAAATTCAATTAAACCAAACAAAAATTTCAGATCGATCAATATCTATGCTTTAAATAGTAACCCAGATATTTCCTTTGGTGGGTGCCTGTCCTGCAATTACATTACCTGTATTGCTTTCTTGTGTCATGCCCAACTGCATTGGTCTCCCAGATTTTGGTAGCCAGAACTCTAACCGTATTCAGAAACAGAATAAAATTGAACTGAAAGAGAAGGTAATATTACAAAGAATCATTAAGTCAGCCTTCAAGATGTTTATAAAAATTTATACAAATTGAACTTCTTCGTATTCAAAAGCAGAAAGTTACCTATTCCATAAATGTGAATGAGGGACTCTGAGATAAGATATTGGACAATTAGTGATTCTTGAACTGCCCTCATGAAAACACAGAGATAAAAAGTTTCAACAGCCCTGGAAACTAGAATACCAGAGGATGATCTGTAAGAATCCATGGGGAATTTCCAAACCAAAGTTTAGATAAAGTCCTGTGGCAGGCTAGCAGGAGAAAGGATAATAGTTATTATATAAATATAGCCAACTGCCCTTTTTGAAATGAATTCCCAGCTTCTGTATCTATTTTAGGGAGGGGAATAATAGAATTGTTTGGGGATACTATCCCTCTTATGACATATGAAAAGTATTGAATGAAGTATGAGGTTTTTTTAAAAAAAATGGTGGGAAGATGGATGAAATAGATAAAGGGGATTAAGAACACATTTATCTTGATGAGCACTGAGTAATGTATAGAATTGTTAAGCCCTTATGTTGTACACCTGAAACTAATATAACACTATGTTAACTATACTTCAATTTAAAAAATTCTTTAAACCCACTTCTCAGATACACACACAAACTAGATGCTAGATGAGAAAAGGCCCCCAGTGTAGGCAATTAGATTGAATTTGAAATATTACAGGTGTGAGCACCCCAGTGACAATCAAGTTCTGGTTTTAAAAATGGAGGAAAAGTTTGGGTAGGATAACTTGTGGGGGCTTGAAGGCTTCAAGGGGAGTGAAGAGTGAATAAAAAGAAAAGATCTCCAGATCTAGGGTCATAAGGAAGTGGAAGCCTGAACTCTTGGAGTCCCTATATTCAGGGAGATGTCTGCAGTCCAGAAAGTGCTACTATTTAGGAATAATGGAAAAGTGGATTGCCAAGAATAAGCTTGTATCAGTGGAAAAGTAATAGCAGGAAGAGAGGAATCATCAAGTTTTTCATTCTTGGAAATAAGACGTCTTGCAGAGTTTTCAACCATTTCTGGAATTTGGAGAATTTGGGTTGTTGGGTAATTCATGTGCCCCACTTGATACAGATGATCAACTGAATCAGCCCCTCCTTAAGCCCCTGCCACCTTCTTTGCCATCCTACTACTGACTACACTATTGGAACCTCTCACCTCTCACTAATTTTGCAGCTTTCTATAATAACTAGGGGCAGAGTCTTGAGTCTCATACTCTGGAGGAAGGACAGAGGTGTGCTGTGAACTGGTAGAAGAAGGATTCTTCAGGCTAGTAAGAGTTGCCATTTATGGAGCCCTCGAGTTTAGCACACACGGATATGGGACAAGCATTTTTTATGTCCCTTTATTATGGATAAAAAAACACCAGCTCAAAGAGATCAAGCGACTTGACCTAAGCTACCCAGCTACTGGAAGACTCTGAACCATGATTATGTGAGTCTGTAATGTAAATTCTTAACCACCATCTTATACCTTCTCTTCAGGATGATAAAAAGATGCAAAACATGAGAGCTGAGAATCTCCATTCATCCTCACCCATTCCAACATCTGGCTCAAGACAGAATATTTTTCAATAAGAGGATGAGAGCTGCTCACGGATATCACATCAATGCTTCCTTTTTGAATGGCCAATTATGTCCTGCCCCATCTATTTCACTCCCTACAACCACAGGCCCTGGCAATATGATGCAGCTGGGCGTGGAAATGGTGGGAAGCAATGCTGTATAATTACTATGCAAAGGACAAAGGGGTAGGACCTGAAGCTGACAGTGCTATGGAAGCAGTGCCAGCTGGAGAGTGTCACTGGTCAGTTCCTATCCCTGGAAAAGGAAGAATTATAGATGGCTTCAGATGGGCCAACCCTAAACACCATTCCTATTTAAAAAAGCCCATGACCAGGAACTCTGTTCTCAGGCCAGTAGACCACACTAAATAAATACTGAAAACTGGCAGAAATTTGACTAAAGAAGATACACACATCCAATACATAAGTTTAAATAGCTAAGAAGATGCATTTAAGGACAATTAAGTGGATTATGGAAAGAATTAAGAAAAATTTAAGATTCAGTAAACTTTAAAAGATCAGTCAACAAAATATACCATGCACACACATGCTCTTTTTTTAAGGTTTTATTTATTTGAGATAGAGAGCGAGAGTATGAGTGTATGAGCAGGGCAGGCGGGCGGGACTACAGAGGGAGAGGGAGAAACAGGCTCTCTGCTGAGCAGGAAGCCCAATTCAGGGCTTGATCCCAGGAACCTGGGATCACAATCTGAGCCAAAGGCAGGTGCTTAACCGAATGAGCCACCCAAGTGCCCCAGAAACAGAAATTTATTAAAGAACGGGATGGATTAAGAACAGATTGTAAAGAATCTAAAATATCTTCAAGTTTTAAAATCAACATTAGAAACAGCAAACAATAGATTTAACAAAGCAAGAGAACACATTCAGCAATGTAGAAAACCACTGAAGACTCTCCCCAAATGGGGAGATAAAGAACAAAGACCTGTATGATGAAGAGAGACATGCCTTCATGGGTAACATGGAATTGAGAGTCATTGTGCAGATTTATTTCTCTCTCTGTAGAAAAGACTATGATAAATTGAACAAATCAATAAAAATATTAAAGGAAAATCCCTGTACTAAAGGAGGATCTGAGCCTGTTAAATAATATTATACATTGGGATCCCTGGGTGGCGCAGCGGTTTAGCGCCTGCCTTTGGCCCAGGGCGTGATCCTGGAGACCCGGGATCAAATCCTATGTCGGGCTCCCGGTGCATGGAGCCTGCTTCTCCCTCTGCCTGTATCTCTGCCTCTCTCTCTCTCTCTCTCTGTGACTATCGTAAATAAATAAAAATTAAAAAAATAATATTATACATTGGGCAAGTGGAACAAAAAAGAATAAAACCAAGTGGAAACTTCTGGTGAGATTTTAAATTTTACTTTAAAATATGTAGAAATAATTCTAAAAGAAAACTATTTAGAGAGTCATGGTATCTCTCATGTGAACTCCTTGTAAAATTTTGCTTAACGTTAGTCTCTTTCAGGCAAAGTACAGATAAAACAAAGAAATAAAAAAACGAGAAGGTGAATAAAATGACCACTTCTCAAGCATTAAAACCAGTCACACAGAGAATAAATTTTATGCAAATATGGTTTTTAAATAATGCAAATATAAACATTAGATTCTTTCTCAATTAAAAATTTAAAGATGTATTCAAAATGAACCACAGATGAATTGAAACAACTCAAAATTTCAGACTTGAAACCTCTGGCCCCTTGGGCTATCTCTGAGACTTTGTTCCTAGAGTCCTCTTTGCCTGGATCATTCTCCTACTCCCTTCCTTCTCAGGTTAGCTCATTCCCAGGTTTCATGCTGAATGTCAGCTTTTCTCAGAAGCTCTTCCAGCTCCACCCAGCACTTGTCATGTTTCAGTTTTTGCCTCACCCACTCTGCTTAAACTTCAGGGTTGGTGTCTGTCTCCAAACCGTATCTGGCCGTTATCTCACACAGCACCCACAATGTTCTTGGTGTTTAATCAAGATTTGTTAAATGAGTAAATGAATAATTGATTGAATGAGAGATGCCCTCTCTAAACCCTCTAGAAGAATTTTTAAAAATTATCCTCAAATCAACATTAAGTGTTGCAAGGTGAATAACAAATCGTTATATTTGCAGATACTTATTTTCAGAACAAAAATTAATGTTTTCTAATGACTCTATTCTCTTAAGCATAGTTTTAACACATAGGAACAAAACACAGACAACAACAGTGCAATAACTTTACATTTCATGATTTCAAAATCAAGTGGTTCCTCTTAAGTTTATACTGAATTCTATGATTATATCTAAAATTCAATTTTCTTGATAGGACTTCTTCAAATTAGAACCTATAAATGCTTATCCTTTACAAACTCCTTCCTATATTGCTTAGAAATTCTAATCACATTTTATCAGATTTTACTCCCAGATACACAAAATTCCAATTAATAGGATTTCTGCTATTCTAATATCCAAAGCCAGAAATAAGTGAGGGATCTAAACCTATACTTAAAATTTTTGGTGAGGTGCCTGGGCAGCTCAGTTAGGTAAGCATCCAACTCCTGATTTCAGCTTGGGTCATGATATTAGGATCAGGAGATGGAGCCCTGTATCGGGCTCCTTTCTCAGCAGGACATCTGCTTGAGATTCTCCCTCTGCCTCTCCCCTCCATCCTCTCACTTGCTCTTGCACGCTCTCTCATACTTTGTCTTGCTGTCTCTCTAAAGTATTTAAGATCTTTTAAAAAAAATTAAATAAATAAAATTATTGATAAATAATTTTTGATAGCATATATGGAGCATATCTATTTATATAAAACCATACTACATAAAAGTTTGAAAAACAAATATTTTATTCAGAGTTAATATATATAAAAAAACTATAAATATTGCCTTAAAAATGGAAAGATCTTTTTTCCCATAAATTCAAACAATCTTGACATGTTTTGGAGTGCAAATGAAAAGAACATGGCCAAAAAATGTGGTTGTAGTCTTATTTTGTCACACTAGCTGTGTGACCTTTATGTGTGGGTGTTAGCTTCTGTCTCTAGAAATGAAAAGGTTGCATGGAATGGACTCAGGGGTTCTGTAATGATACAGAACTTTGCTTTGTGCTCTAATTTCACCTCTGCCCTCTTACCAGTTCCCCAAGGCATTTACTTTGTATACTGGTTTTATTTTTTCAACAAGTATTTATGAGTGGCCACTATGTGCCAGAAAGCTTGCTAGGCACTAGAAATCTAGAAGGTTAGGGAAAATATGGCTGTAGTTCACATAAACCTTATAGCTTAGTGCACAAGATGGACATTCAACAATAAGTTTTTTACATTGTGATGATCTTGAGAAGGAAAAACTTCACATTGCTCTGTGGGTTATAATAGGTGAGCTAATTTAGACTGGACGCATCAAGGAGACCACAATGAAGAAGTGGCATTTAAAGTGAGGAACAGGAATCTAAAAAAAGGAAGGGGTGGCCCCTGGGTGGCTCAGTGAGTTGAACATCCACCTTTGGCTCAGGTCATGATACAGGAGTCCTGGGATCAAGCCCCACATCAGGCTCCTTGCTCAGCTGGAAGTCTGTATCTCCCTCTCCCTCTGCCCTTCCCCCCTGCTCCTTCTCTCTTTCTCTCACTCTCTCAAGTAAATAAAATCTAAAAAATAATATAATTTAAAAATACAGCAAGGAATAGAAGGAAGCACATCCCAAGCTTCCAGGGCTACAGCACCAAATATGGAATAGCCCTGAGGAGGCAGAGGTGGACAGATTCAAGGAACTGAAAGGAAAACAACGTGGCTGAGGTATTGCAAGTAAAGAGTGCAGGCACGAGTGACAGGGTCTTCTCTAGACTATTTTGGGACACTGGATTTTATTGTAAGTGCAGGGAGTTCACTGGGTAGGGATACTGAACCTGAAGTTAGAATCCCACTCCACCTCTCACTAGCTGTGTGACCTTGGGCAGTTTCCTCATTTAGAAGATTAGATAAATCTGTGTAAATAAAGTACCCAGAACAGTACCCATACAATGCAGTGTCCATTGTTATTATTTGCATCGTCCTTCCTGGCTTCAGGACACTGAACAGCTAGCTGAGAGGAAGGAGCACCTCATTCAAAACACTAGGATGGAGTTCGGGGCACATCTCTTCCCTTACAGACTGATTCTACAGTAAAATGAGGGGATTTTAAACGAAACTGTAATAACTGAATTGCAATACTAAAACAATAGGTAACTCAATGAACAGAAAGGTGCTCTTGAATCTTCTCTGAATGTTTTTAAGGATTTTATACTTATTTATTTGAGAGAGAGAGAGAAAGAGGCACATGGGTGGAGGGGGAGAGGAAGAGAGAGAGAATCTCAAGCATACTCCCTGCAGGGCTCGATCTCACAACCTTGAGATCATGACTAGGATATTTTTAGATTAAATGGATGTTGTGATTTTGGAAAAACATTTAAGAATTCTTGCTTTGGAGCTGTCATCATTTAGTTCAGGAAGACGAAAATGGCTTCCATCTAAGTTTTCTTCAAAATGCTTATGCACTGAGTATACCATCATTTCTAGCTCTCTTTCTCCAACAGGGAATCTTCTAGAACCTCTATAACCACCTAACTTTACTGCTTTTCTTTTCAATTTAGAAACCTCAGCATATAGACTTCTCATCCATATTGACAATGTGAATAGGATCTGCTAACAAAAAAACGAAGCTTTGGATAAAAAATCAACTGTTTCAATGAAAGACATCCTATAATTTACTTTTGTCTCCTGTCCTTTGCTTCAATTCTTAATTTTTAAAAGGATCTCTTGGAGTTTTAATACATCTTTTCTTTTCACCAAATGAAAACTCAATGTTCTTAAATTTGCCTATATTTTCATATAATATTTAATTATCTCTTATTTCACAATTTCAGTACAATGTACCCAGGCACACAAAAAAAGTAGTAAGACCTGAGTCATCCCCTTAAAAAGAGGAATGTAAGTGATGGACAAGCAAACATCGTGGAGGATGAACAAGGAGGAAAGAAACTGAAAGGCTGGGCAACACAGATGATGATACAGTATCAGTGGATAAAAGGGAAATCAGGGTAGTAAACACCAGATGCTACTTTATAAAATTAATTTCTGTCTTTTTAGTTCACTTATGTTCCCCAGGGATATAGTTTATCACCTGATGGTTTGATGGGGTGGTTTATCACTAGACTAAGATAGCAGCACTTCATTAAAATTAAAATGATAAGAGTTCACAAATTTAAGTCAAAATTAAAATGATAAGAGTTCACAAATTTAAGTCATTCATTCATTTATCCACAGTACATTTCCAGCTTCTCATAGGACATAAAAATGAGGTCTAATTTGCTAAAAGGCTGTTTTAGCAAGGATACAAACTAGCCTCTCTGGAAGTGTTCCATATTTTATTTCCCCCTATAAACATTTACGCAATGGGCTTCTGAAATGAAGAATCCCTTTCATGCTTCTCTATTTCTCTTTCCGCATTTTTCCTATGAGATAAATAAGCTTTTCTCCTATTCTGGATTGATCTTACAAAATCTCAGTCCCATTAATATAGCTGTCCCTCTGTACCCAGCATGGCAAAATAATGACAAACCTGGGGATGCATTAGGAGACAGAAAACAAACTGAGGAAAGCAAGAAACTGGAGAACAAAGACAAAGTTAAAAATTAGGCTGCTACATTACTTTCAAGTGATTTAACAGTTAATATGGGAACATAAGTCCTCTTTTTAAGATGTTTATAATCTTGAATTACTACAAGTATAATTTCTTCATCAAACCATGGAGAAGCTAATGAGATAAAATCTTCAAGGGAAGTCAAGAGTAAACATTTTGAAGAGTTGTGTTAGACACAAAGAAGCATAACTTTGTTTTCTTTCACAACACAGATGTTATATGCAGGTGAAACACTACAGGCAGAAAAGATCCACACAATACGCACTGCTTACTTCAGTCTTTTTCCTGTGACCTATTAGACAGGATTCTGTGGGATATGTCTCCATATGGCATTAACTTAACTCCTCAGGGACGTTTGCCAAGTAAGAGTTTTTGTCAATCCTTTATAATGAATCATACTATCATTTGTCTCCTTCTCAGTAATTCCTCTGTTCTCTGGCTATTTGTCTTCTCCTCCTGACCTGCTACCAAGTAATCAAAAAGTTAAAGTGGAGCTCTAACATAATGGACATAAAGGGGGAAAGGTTTTAAGACCTTCCAATTGCCTGAACATGTAAATGTTCACAGATATTTTGAAGACCTGAATTGAACCCATGTGCTTGCCGATTAAAGGGAGGGTATGTCCTTTCTGCATGGATCTCAGAGTCAGCCACAAATGTGGATATGATCCCCAGCCCAGACTCTCCCAACAGCTATTGCTGTAATGTGAGTCTCCTAAACCTTTGTAGAACAAAGTGAGAGACACACTGTCTCTCCATTTTAGCAGCAGTTTAATATGCATCCTCTTTCTTTCTTTCCATGACACAGGATTTTAACACTTACCCCGATAGCTGCTAAGATTGGGGCTTGGTAAATCCACTTGATGTTTCCAGCACTAAGTTCCCAGCATCTGAGACATGAAAAAGAACTTTCATGAATAAATTGGCAAAGCAAATAGGCAGTGAGAATTAAGTAGCATTTTCAGTTTTACTGAACATTCCAGTCCCAAGCTTTTTATTAAAAATAAGTAGACCAAAAGAAATCTCAGAAAATGCCCAAACCAGTTTAAAAAAAATGTAATGGGTCCTAGTTTCCATACTATTAGTGGTAGAGGAATATAAATATTGTTTATTTTTTATAGCAACAAGATTCAAAACCACATTTCCAGAACCATAAAAAAAATTGTTGCCTTTTAAATGTGGTGTACCTGGGGGCACTTGAGTGGCTCAGTCATTTGAGCATCCGATTCTGACTCTTGTTTTGGCTCAGGTCATGATCTTAGGGTTACGGATAGATCCCTATGACAGGCTCCATGCTCAATGTGGGGTGCCTGCTTCTCTACTCCCTCCTCCTTTGCCCTACCCTCCTTACTCATTCTCTTTCTCTCTGAAATAATCATAAATAAATAAACAAATAAATGTGGTGTACCTGATACTTCATTTTTCTTATCACTGGAATGATAAAGTTCTCTCACTTTCAGAAGTTCTAGTAATTCTGTGTTATTACACATTGTAGAATACTGACAATAATGCATAAGTCAAAATGAATGAGTAAAAATTGCTACAGGATTTGAAGATGCAACCTGATGTCTCTGGGACTTATTTTATTCATCTTTCAAATCAGCGGATTGAACCAAAAAAATGCCTTAGGATTTATCTTCTCTAAAATTCCAAATCTGTTACACGGTTCTACATCTCATGGTAAAATTATTTAGCGTTATCTAGTACCTCTTTGCTTACTCAACCCACCCACTTCCAAGAAATCAACTGTCCAAGACACTATGTTTTCTTGGACATTTCCAGTATCATTGTATATACACAGCAATGATGATAATGTTGATAACATTAACCCTCAACTGTTAATGTAACATTTGTATAGAAGTTGGAGTTTACAAAGCCGTTTCATAAATGGGATCTCATCGATTTTCAAATCTACCCCTTGTAAACTCAATCTTACTCATAGCCAGGAATACTCGCATTTTACAAATGGGAAGGCTGAGACACCAAAACTGCCAATTAACGAATGGATGAGAATATACATTTCCTAGTAATTTACAACCTGCAAACATTCTCTTTGCTCAACAGACACTCAACAAATGGAGGAAAGTGGCTAAATAGATCCCTAAGAACTGATCCGCAAGCATTGGAGAGTTCTCTACTATAAAACAGAGAATTTCACTCCTGCCCATTTGTAATTCAGTTGTTTTTTTTTTAATCTGACAGTTACAAATGCACATCAAGAGAAATAAGATAGTATATAAGAAAGGGATAATTATAGAATCTACATACAAAATGCAGTAATTTGAGAGAGATTTTACATGTGGGAGTGGCGCATCTGAAACATCCTGAAATGGTAGAGTACTTGTAGTTATAGTTTCCCTTTCTGAACACCGTGAAATGCAGATATAATTTTATCATGTGAATGAGAAACACATGTGCTAGTAACGTTGTACACTTCCATGCAGTACAAATGCATGAGCTTGAACTCGTATCTCAGCAAAAAAAAAAAAAAAATGAACTATTGAAAAGTCCATGATAGGTAATGGACTATTTCTGATTAAGGGAATAGGAAGCACTACAACAGGTAGAAGGACAAAGGGTAGATATAATGAAAATTGTCCTGTGTACAACGGGCATTGCCCACGGTGCACTCCTCATTATAAGGGGTATCTAAACAACTGAAGAGTGAGCAGCTGTCAGGGGTATTGTAAAAGAATCCCTCTACAACATTCCTCCTCCACAGAAAACAAATACTACTGATCTTCATAGAAACCTCTAGTCTGCTCATAGTATTTATTGAGTGACTCTGGAGCTCCATCATCTAGACAAATTCCTTCTCTACCACTCATGGCTATGCAATGCCAGGTACAACTTTTTTTGGCCTCAGTCTCATAGGGTTGATATGAAGTCCAATTAAATTACTATTTGCAGAACCCTTAGAAAGTGCCTGGAATGTATCATTCAAAATTCCTAGCTTCATCTTTCTTATTATTTTTCTCCAATCTTTCCCCCACGTAGTGGAAATGATCTTTACAAAATGCAAATTTATTGTCATTATCACTTAAAAAAAAAAACCCAACTATCCTAGTATGATCTATAAAGGTCTGGAAGATTCTGGCCCCCATTTCTTCTCCAGCCTCATTTTTAAGCTCTAACTTTAGCAGAATCAAGGCTCCACCAACTTGAGAGGATAAATATCATTAGCTAGGATTAATAAAAGGATAAATCTTGCTTTCTAATGGAATAACAATAAATAAAAACATTATTTTTGATCAGACATTATGTGGGAAAGGCTGATGTGGCTCCAACTGAGAGAAGAGATCTGAATATTGCCCATCCCAGGACTCAGGTGGTGTGGCCCTTCCACATGCTTGCATCATTCCGGTGTATTAACTTACCCATCTCTTTCCCCTTGCTTCTCACAATACATTTAAAATGATATTATAAAGTAAAGAGGTCCAGCATCCTGATCAGGTCCATGAGTCTTTCTGTCCTCTGAGATGTATCAAAGGCTACAATCACATCAAGGTAATTTCCTACATGACATCCCTAAAGGGACATGTGATCAATAATAGCAGCAAGTGTAAATTCCAGGCAGGAAGACTGAGTCTTGAGAAAATCTGTGGCTCTCTCTTTACTTCTCCTTTTTTCACTCACCTTGCATCAGCCAGAGTTGCTCGTGCCACAGCCCAGGCCACAACAAATACTGCTGGGAACCCTGCAATCAAAAAGGGAATCAGAGGCCATATTTAATATTAAGGGAATTTTTAATCTCATATTCAGCACACATAAGAATATACTATTAAAATTTGAAAGAGAGAAAGACATGGTAAATGTTGATATATCAACAAGAAATTCCATTTAGTCTTCATCTTGTCCACTTAAGTGAGCAAGGTACCTTGCCGTCATTTGTTCCTGAAAGTCTAAAGATTGAAGGTTGGCTCAATTTTCCCTTAAGGGATATAGGATCAAGCTTTATGGGGAAGGAATAGAAGTTGTTGGGGCCAGAAGCAGGCAGTGATTGGAGCACTGGACTTTGACTCCTGCCACCCTGACAGCTACATGCTCTCGAGGAGTGAAGCAACATGACAGATATGAGGAACAGCGCGGAGGCTGTTTTAAAAAATTCAAACTTAGCCATTCTAAAAGTGCAAGCCATAAAGAAGCTATACTGAGAAGTTATAAAATTGGGAAGTTTGGATCAGTTTAGCCTCTTCTTTCTGTGGGCTTCATATCGGCTCAACTTAAGCATTTGCATGCATTTAGACCATAGCAAAGGGTGGCCACTACGTGAATCTGATGATTTGAGCATGAGATATGTATCTCTCATAAGTGTTAAACACCTCATGAGCTTGCAATGTCGAATCTATTACAGTGACTTTCCACAAGTCTGAAAAGGCTGCCCATGGTAAAGGCTGACTGTCCAGTTTATGTTATAGTCAATTAGACTCTTGACATCACATACAAAAATTCACAAACCATAACTTTTATGGAACATGACAAACAGGACCAAAGGACTGAATGGACAACTTCTTATTCTGTGGAATTTATGAAAGTGGTTTTTAAAAAGGAAAGAGAGAGTATAATGGAAACACTGCAGAAGTTAAGAAGCACCTATAAAGGGACAGGAAAAGTTTTCATCTAACTTAGATTATTGAACACAATATTAAACTTTTCACTTTTAAAAACACATTTGTCATTTTTCAAATACTCTTATTTTAGCAAAAAAAAGTGGAAAAGAATAGGTTCAGATGAAGGAAAATGCCATTAAAAGTGAAAATAAGATGATTCACTGCAATAGAAAATGTTCTGGCCTCCTCAGTGATCACTTTATTGAATTTAACCTCAGCCTGCTGGTGTGGCTATTTAATTATATGATTCCACATTCAAATGTTATTTATTGTTTGTATAGAACATCTAAATTTCAAACATCATAAATAAATATGCTCAAATTCTATGTTCCAAGAAATTGTTTTTTTTTAATTTTTATTTATTTATGATAGTCACAGAGAGAGAGAGAGAGAGAGAGAGAGAGAGGCAGAGACACAGGCAGAGGGAGAAGCAGGCTCCATGCACCGGAAGCCCAATGTGGGATTCGATCCCGGGTCTCCAGGATCGCGCCCTGGGCCAAAGGCAGGCGCCAAACCACTGCGCCACCCAGGGATCCCGAAATTGTTTTTTTTTTTTTTTCAAAGTAAATCTACTCAATTCTGGTTATTTCTTAGGTTCACTTCACATATTTTATCTATCTTTCTACTATCTATATCTATATATCTACCCACCTACTTATCCAACCATCCATCTATCCCATAACCATTTATTAAGTGTGTGTCAAGTTTCAGAAGATAAAACAATAAACAGATCAACAATATCCCTTTTTTTCTTAAGCATATTCTGGAAGGAGATACAAAATTAATAACATAACTTTGGTTATCAATCAGCACTATGAAGAAAAAACAAGAATGATGCTGTATAATGAAGTAGAGCTCCTGACAGGGTAGTTCAAAAGGCCTGATGTAGCTTCCTTTACTGATTTCCTGCCTTGGCTATCTTTAAAAAGCATCTGTCTTTGATCAGAATTTTCACATTTTCTCATTTCCAGGTCTTTATCTTTTGCTTCCTTTACAATCTCCTGATCAAGCAATTTCCTGAAATAACGTTCTATACACATTGATCAATGGTGCTTGAGTTGGAATTCTGTTTTAGATGGTAGTTAGAACAAATATCTTACATCTCATCACCATGTCTTAATGAAATTACTTTTCTCATCATCTTGGAATCTCATCATCTTTAGTTTCACAAAACTAGCACAGACACAACCATGGAAGAAAAAAATTGAAAGCATTCTGGGATTGAAGGATTTTTGATCACCAAACTTAGTATCATATTATTACATAATTGAGAACACATAAATACAGGGGGAAATGTTTGAAATTTAGATGTTATTTTAAATTTAAATGCTAATTTAAGTAAATTTAATGTAAATTTGAATGTTACTCAATATATGCATTTACCTTGAGAGCAGTTATATTCATAAAATATAAGTATAAATAAGTATTTCTGAGAGGGAGGCAGTCTCTAGCCTAAAAAGAACTACATGTGGGTTCTTGTGTGGCTCCATTAAAATGAAGTTTTGGACTAATAGTAGTCCAAAGGTTTTCGCAACTAAACCCTTTCTTCAAATAAAAACTTATGCAGCAACCAGCTGCATAAAACAGAAATGCTCTGAAGCCAAAGAGGGTTAATAGTATCTTCTCACCTTGGTCTATGTAGTTTCATCTTGTTTGGGATTTTTCAGAAGCTTCATAGAACCATACCACACCCTTACCCTCCTCCTGTGGTGCTACTGTACTATTGTAAAGTCACAGGTTGATCATAAAGTGTAAAGTTGGGAAGCCTGGGTGGGTCAGTGGTTAAATGCATCTGCCTTCAGCTCAGGGAGTGATCCTGGAGTTCTGGGATCAAGTTCCACATCGGGCTCTCTGCATGGAGCTGGCTTCTCCCTCTGCCTATGTCTCTGCCTCTCTCTTTCTCATGAATAAATAAATAAAAATCTTTTTAAAAATAAATAAAGTGTAAAGTTAGTTCTAAAAAGTAGAGACCCATCATGACATAGGATGCCTAGCTTTGCAACAGACATATAGTAGTATCTTTCCAACCAGAAACCTTGATTCTCCTAGGAATCCATCCATGTTGACTGCTCAGAGATGTAGCTCTAGGCTATGCTTCCAGTTCCCTCACTACTCATCACAGAATGCTGGAATTCAAAACCCATCACCTATGTTTTATTCATTCTCCATATGATTTTGGCATAATTGTTCTCAACTCTCACAAGATTCTAAGCCAGTACTGAATGAGTACATCTCTCTTTCCAGAAAATTGCAAAGCTTTTGAAGTCTTCCATTGTTATAAAGAAGAGTGTCTATTTATGAAAAGTTAGAAGAGCTACCGCCTCCTGAGATGGAACTGCTACAGGAAACAAAAGAAATATTTAAAAAATATATCTAATTTATAATCCAAAAAAATTAGAAGAATTATTAGAAGAATAGAGTAAGGTATTGTGGGAAAAGATCAGTCTGAAACAGAAGAGCTATAATAAAAAAGAAAATATGTTTACTGAATTAAATATTGCCAGTGGGCAGAAAGTGTAAAAGATTGAATTGATGGAGATAAAATGAAATCTTGAAACCAGCTGAACCCACTAAGATAAATCTACATAATTGTTACCACTACAAATCTAAACATGACTATAATTTGTTTTCTTTAGAAGAGGTAATAATCTATATAATTTTAAATGGTTAGGAGCATGGGTAGTCCGGGTGGCTCAGCGGTTTAGTGCCACCTTCAGCCCAGGGCCTGATCCTGGAGACCCGGGATTGAGTCCCACGTCGGGCTCCCTGCATGGGCCTGCTTCTCCCTCTGCCTGTGTCTCTGCCTCTCTCTCTGTCTGTCTCTCATGAATAAAAAAATAAAATCTTTAAAATAAATAAAAAATAAATGGTTAGGAGCAAAACCCCAAATTATATGTACAAAGTTGGGGAAAATGATAAGCAGAGAGATTCAACTTTTGTATCTTTCAAAAAGTAGGGTTAAAATTTTGATCTTTTTTAACTCTAATTGTTAAATGTAATTTTAACTTTAAGGCAACTTTCAGCATATGTAATAATGGCATTAAAAATCATAAGGGAAGGGAGAGATAGCTTTTCTAGATTTTTAAATTTTGCTTGAAGCCAATTGAAAATTATTAATTGTATGAAGGTATTATATTGACTATCATAAATTTTTTGGAGAATAGATCTTATGAACTAAATATTTTGAATATAATATATATGATCAGAACAGCGAAACACAAAATTAAATAACCTATAGGGTCAGACTACATGCATATTGTGTGCAGAGAACTTAACACATCTGTATTTCAATTATATTTACTGCCAACTGGATAATCAAAAAATATTTGCTGAATTGAGATCACCTGATACAGAGATAATAAATCTCCTGATTATCTTCAGAGAATACAGAATATGAAAATATTCTACAGGAAAGCTTGGCAGTGGAGATACGACTACATGGTATAATCAGGATACGTGATCTTATATGATACTATGTACATTCTGGCATCTTATCTGACAGCTGAGTATTAAGGATGATTGCTAATATAGAAGCAAATTACCACATTAAGTAAGGATAAAGAAATAAGACTGACACCTTTTAAACACAAAATCAAATACATAGAAAAAATAATGTATACTTGAAAGAACAAAATGGAACCAAGAATAAAGTGCCTTATTTATGAGAAAATTGAAGCAAGAATAGGGAAAATTTAGAATGTGATTGGTTGAAAGACAAATAATATAGTAATCATTGGAATTTGCCTTTATTCCTCTATACATCTTGTTTTGTGATGAAGATGTGTAAAAACAGTTATTTTAAACATTTGCCTTCAATTTACTAAAGATCAGATACGGCAGCATCTGCTCCTCTTTAGATTGTAATTTCTTTTTTTTTTTTTTTTATAAATTAATTTTTATTGGTGTTCAATTTACCAACATACAGAATAACACCCAGTGCTCATCCCGTCAAGTGATTAGATTGTAATTTCCTTCCCTTCCAATTTATTCCTAAGAATAAGCAAGGGCAGCCCAGGTGGCTCAGCGGTTTAGCACCGCCGTCAGCCCAGGGCATGATCCTGGAGTCCCGGGATCGAGTCCCACGTTGGGCTCCCTGCATGGAGCCTGCTTCTTCTCCCTCTGCCTGTGTCTCTGCCTGTGTGTGTGTGTGTGTCTCATGAATAAATAAATAAAATATTTAAAAAAAAAAGAATCAGCAAAATCAATGTAAGTAATATAGCCCCACATGTCACTATAATGTGAGTAGTAAAGTTCTATTTATTTAGCTAAAGAGAGCTTAAAGTTATCATGGTTGGGTCCAATAAGTAACAAAGGAATCCAAGCACTCCTCTCTAGTGAAGCCAATAAATGACATCATTGGAAGGAAGTATGAAATTGGATTCACTACAAATTACTCTAGTAGAAGATCCTGCAAAACAGCTATAATGGTTTTGATCATTATTTTTCTTATAGGAATTTAGAAAAATGAGTCAGAAAGCAAAATGATATTCTAAAATCAGACTGTCAGTGATAAGGGGAAGACAGTCTATTAATCAAATAGACTTAGGTATTTACTTCATTAAATAGAGCTACATTTAAGTAATGGACAGATATTCTTTCTTCTTAAGACGTTATTTATTTGAGAGAGAGAGCATGGGCATGCAAACACATGAGTGGGGGGCAGGGGCAGAGGCAGAGAATCTCAAGCAGACTCTGGGCTGAGCTTGGATCCTGATGCAGGGCTGAGGCAGGACTGTACTTGGGGCTTAATCTCACCATCCTGAGATCATGACCTAAGCTGAAACCAAGAGTTAGGTGCTTAACAGCCTGAGTTACCCAGGCACCCCAGTAGCAGGGAGATATTCTTTAAAGAATATTACTATAATTATATATGCCCTAAAGTAGAGCATATTTAAAGTGGAGTAGCAAAGAGAGAGAGTCAGAAGATAGACTAAGTGGGGAACTGTAATTCTATAAAGATTGGCTATTAGTGTTTTAGGTTGTGGTTAATTGTATGTGATATATCACATGTAAAATGCTTTCAAAGCAAGCTTCTGTGTAAAGCCTAGTTGCTCTTCTGTTTGTTCTTAAACCATTTGATGAAAAGAAAACTTCAAGTAATAATGCTTATCTTCTGTAGTCATCATTCCAATGCCAAAGTTCTTGTGGGCAAATCAATGAATTTGTTATAGAAAGGTTAGAAATTCATACTCATATAGAAGCTCACTATGATGCAGGAAAACACATGAGGATTCGAACCTGACAGCCAAGAAAGAATTCTTGAGACGTCTTTGGTGCAAAAACGTGATTTTATTAAAGCATGAAGACAGGACTCATGGGCAGAAAGAGCTGTACCGGGGTCATGAGGAGTAGCCTATTATATATTTCAAGTTGGGAAGGGGTAAGTCCCTAAGGAACTTTGGAAGCGAGGTTTCCAGGACCTTGAGGGGGGCTACCTATTGTTGGGAAATGGTCATTTATTACTAATAAAACCTGAGTCATGAGACCCTTCAGATGTATATCAGTGAGTCATTTGCTTGGGGGACAAGGTCACCAAAATATATTTGTGGCATAGAGATAAAGGAAGTTTCCAAAGGAATTTTTATATGTTAAAATAGATTTACAGGATCTTGGGGGTTTGGCTAAGACTACCTGTTGCTCTTAGCAAAGTATTAACATTGAGTCAGTTGAGTCCCTAGAGGAAATGTCACTCTGCCTGTTTCAAGGACTTGTCAGTCGGCTGCAGGCAGTAAGGAAATTTAACAATTTTTCTTCTGCCTTTGTTTCTTATATCAACTGGACTATATTTTATTGTTTTTCATAGAACTAAGGTTTGAAAACTAGTTTCTTGCATTTAAGTGAGACAAACTCCTGACTTTAAAGAGGAACACACTGAGTGATCAGAGATGTGGAGAACAAAGGCAAAAGGAAATGTAAATAAAATTAAACTTCTTTATAACTTGCAGCCCATTGACAAGTACTTGAGGCAGAGTGACTTTCATCCAGAAACTACCAACTGTCTTAATGTTAATGCCTTGCTAGAGGTAAAAACAACCCTAGCTTGACAACAGCTTGGCCTCCAGGATCCTGTTAAATTTTCTTTAGCATCTGAAAATCCTTTTGGAAACTTTTTTGTCTTTACCTCCCCCAACTCCAAAGTATATAATCAACTGCTTCTCACGATCTCAGGACAGCTCTTTTTGCCTAAGGGTCCTGTCCCCATGCTTTCATAAAAGCACCTTCTTGCACCAAAAAAAAAAATGTGTCAAGAATTATTTATTCACCATTTGCTCATGAACCCCACTTCAAATCATATCAGTAGAGACCAACTAAGAGTTACTGGAGGAGCTGGAGCTTATCAACCCAATAAGTACACGGAGGAAAAATGAATTCATTATGTGTGACCAGTGGTGTAGAAACCCAAAATACAAAATGTATCTCAAACAAATGTCTACATTCATTGTTGAATTTTCTACCAACACCTTTACCGACTTCTAGTAATTATGTGGGTACACAGATATAATTTTGATTTGAAGGCAAACTAACACAAACTATTCAGGAAATTTCCAAAGTACCCTAAAAAATAAAATGCCTCTTTTTTATTTTTAGTAGCTGCTAGTCAAAGGGACAGCTTTAAAATAGACAAGCTGCCTTCAGAAATAAAACTTGAGTCACAATAATCATTTCATAATAAATGAAATATTATAGGAAATAGACCCTCTGTCTTCTTAAAGGTTACTTAGTAACTAGCAGGAAATTCAATATTCCCTCCTTCACATTTTCTAATGTTAAAAAAACTATATTGGGATGCTTGGGTGGCTCAGTGATTGGGTGCCTGCCTTTGGCTCAGGTCGTGATCCTGGGATCCGGGATCGAATGCCCATCAGGCTCCCTGCGAGGAGCCTACTTCTCCCTCTGCCTATGTCTCTGCCTCTCTCTCTGTCTGTGTCTCTCATGAATAAATAAATAAATCTTAAAAAAAAAACACAATATTAAAGCCAAACAAGCAGAGCCAAACAAGCAAAATAAGAAAAATTCTTATTTTGGAGGAGGGGAAAATAAAAAACCTTCAAATTTAATCTTGAGCCACTCAGTTAATTTTTTCCTATGCTGAGCACCTATAATGTGGATATTAAAAAACAATGGAGATCTGCAATTGTTAATCATGAGGCTTCTTAAATGTAACTACAGATGAATTTCAACTTCTTTTAAATTTGAACAAACAAGCAACATCCTTTTCCCCATGTCATGTTGACTTAATGCTTAGTCCAGTCTAGTGCTGACAAGGCATTTTTGGAATGTGAGCTGAATACCCTTTTTCCAAAAATTACTTATGCAAAAAGTAATTTGGATCATTCTCTTCCCAAAGACATGGAAATCTACGTAATTATTTGGGAATTTGTATCATTAAATGCAGCCAAGATAGTCTTATAAATTCCTTTCTGGTATTCTCATCATACAACCTAAAAATAAAAATCAACAATTCATCACTATAGTTTAGAAATTTAAAAATCAAAATATGTAGGATGAAATTATTGCTAAGTCAGGACATTGACATAAGACAGTTACACTAAGCACAGCAATTCTCAGTGTGTATGGTTAACAATGTGTTCTCTTATATTTCCACCAGAAAATTCTCTCAAGAATCTGACCTAAGAACACTAACCATAAGTTAAACATGAAAATTTGTTACCACTGGGAGGATTTTAAACTTGATCTTAATAACTTTCCCCAATGGTAGGAAAAGATTTCAGGAAAATGCTGCAAGTATGCTAATGACAGGTCATGTAGGAAAATGTTGGGTTCAAAACAGTTAGGAAAGAATTCTTGAGATGTCTTCGGTGCCAAAAGGGGGCTTTATTAAAACACGAGGACAGGACCTATGGGTAGAAGGAGCTGCACTGGGGTTGTGATGGGTGTCTGATTCTATACTTCCAAGTTGGGGGGTGGTTAGGGACAACACAAGCCTCCAAGGAATTTTGGAAAGAAGGTTTCCAGGACCCTGCGGGAGCTAGCTATTATTAAATAACAATCATTTATTACTGTTTGGTAAAAACTCAGTCTTGAGATCCTTCAGATGTATAGCAGTGGGCCATATGCTTGGAGGATGATTGCTAACATAGATCTTGTGGGGTAGAGAGAAAGGAAGTTAACATGTAAAAGAAGATTTACAGGATCCTGGAGGTCAGCATAATGTTAAGATTGCCTTTTGCCCCTAGGAAAGCATTAACATGGAGGCAGCTGAGTTCCTAAAGGAAATGTCACTCTGCCTGTTCCAATGACTTGTCAATGAGCTGTAAGTAGTACGGAAATTTAATTTTTTCTTTTGCTTTTGTTTGCCACATCAGTAGCTTAACAGAAATCCATAATCCAAAAAAGATTAAAGCCAAAAAGAAAGGAGACATAAATACCTTACCCCAGCCTATCAAGGTGAAGCCCCATAGGTATTTGGTGTCCGAAAAGAACGCCACAAAGATTAGACTATGCAAGTAGAGACCTTCCACCAAGATCCAATAGTAATTTGTAGCCAAGAAGTAAATGAACATCACAACAGCAATCTTGCACCCAATCTGTTACAAATAAATCAGAATTGCCTCATATTAGAACTCTTAATTGTACTACCTGCAACATCAGACCATGAACAAGTCGTTCTGTATTTTCTTTTTTAGAATCTATTTCCTGTATGTAGGAAAGCCCAGACTACTAAAAGAGATCAGAACAAATTTATTTTAAGACAGCATCTCTAAGACTATGGTCTCAATTCTATTTTTAAAATAAGAGTTTTTTTTCCTTTAGGGCAGCTTGGGTGGCTCAGCAGTTTAGCGCCTGCCTTTGGCCCAGGGCGTGATCCTGGAGTCCCGGGATCGAGTCCCGCATTGGGCTCCCTGCATGGAGCCTTCTTCTCCCTCTGCCTGTGTCTCTCTGTCTCTGTGTGTGTGTGTGTGTCTCATGAATAAATAAATAAAATCTTTTAAAAAATTAAAAAATAAACTTGAAAAAAAAGATTTTTTTCCTTTAGAAGTAACCAAAAAATCACTTTTCCTTAATTTTCCCTGTTTATAAAATTAATACTGGATCATCAGAAAAAAATTAAGAAAGTACAGAAAAGCATAAAGAAGAGGTATTAGCCACTATTCTACCACAAATTTATTTTTTTCTCATCTTTTTTATGCTTCAAAAGTCAATGGCTGAAACTAACAATATATCTTATGAATCTTTGGATTGGCTAGGTGATTCTGCTGATCTGGGCCAGGCTCAGCTAATACTGGCTAAGCTCACTCACAGACTTCTACCCTTCACTGGCACCCTATCACTGCCACTTCATTCTATTGGATAAACAAGTCACAAAAGCTAGCCCAGAATCAGAACCAGCAGGGAATACAAAGTTACACGGCAAAAGCCAAAGCCACAGAAAGGACATAATTTATACCATCAAGACATATAATCTATTATACTTAATTTCCAGATATAGTGCATCAGTGATCTAATTAACTGAATTATTAAGTGATTGTATTTACTAAATAACACCAGGACATTTCAGAGCTGAATCAAATACCCTGGAATTTTATATTGGAACAAGTCTTTGAATCTACAATAAAGAAACTATAAATATCATGAGCTTTTAAATAACACACTATAAATAAATAAATAAATAAATAAATAAATAAATAAATAAATAAATCACACTTCTAGTTTTGCAAGTGGGCTTTTTACTTTTTGAACACCATAAGCCATGACAGCTACTATGAACCATATATCAAATGCACTCCAGTCATGTGATTTTTTTTGAAGTTTCCATTCCAGAATGTTCTTGCAGAAAGAGCACAAGACTTTTAATTGTCTAACATGATGACTAATTAGGCATGAAGCTTAAGGACAGAATTGAGGTAGTAAACATCATTATATAAATTGGTCACCTATTTCGGTTCAGTCAGAGATTACATAAGCCAAAACAAGTTAATATTTAATGGACTTATATTTAAATTTTACTTGTCTGTAATGTGATATGAATCAGTAATGAAAGAAAATGGTGAAAACACTTACATACTGTGATTTGTCCACAGAAGGCATGTCTATGGAATTTTGCAGGTCATCCTGCATCAACAGAGACTGTAAATCCTTTACTCCTATGTGAGCATGGACCACTTTGTCCTTGACAAAGATGCTTGCAGCTCTCAGCATGAAAGACACAAATAAGTGCATGTGGATATAGTTCCTAGTACAATGCAACCGTCTATGGAGAGAAAACATTTAATATTTAGATTTGAATGAAATTTGAAAGGGGGAAAGAAAATAGATAAAGGAGTCCTTACACCCCCAAAAAAAGAAGAAAATCTAGTAAACCTGAACAAAGACAGAAACCCATTACTATCTATTTCCAATAGAAACAGCTGGGATCAAAAACTAAAACATTCTGAGAATAATTTCAAACTTATCTTCATCTACTACCATGTTTATCCCAATTTTGCAGAGTGAACTATTATATTATACTATAGCATTATATGAAACTGTGTATTAAATAATAAATGAATAATGGAGAAACACGTTTTGTAAAGGGATAAATATTGTTAAAAGTGGAGTTTTCACATTTTCAGCACATTCTCTATCAGAAAAAGTAAAATATTTTGATAGCATTATACAGCTTTATGTCCTAGTAATGTTAAAGAATAAACAAGCTGACTTTAACATAAAAAGCTTAATTTATAAAAGAATATTAGACACAAGTCATAAGCACACTTAGGAGTAGACCCAGTACTACTAATTTCGGTACAAAAAGCTAATTCCAAAAGAAACCTTTTCTTAAATTTGGTGGGAAAAAACAATAAGAAAAAGTTGTATAATCTGGCCCCACTCTACCATCGCTTAACCATGAGAAAGTACAACTTCCCTGTACGATGATCATACTAATACTACTTCTCTTCCAGAAAGGACAAACTCCACAAGTGTAAGGGAGTAAGAAAAATTTTAATCCAATAATATATTTTTATATATCATAATATAGGAGAGCTAGGCCAAATGAGAATGAGCTAAATTTAGACATTTTGGCATTGTTATTTTGTTAGTATGTTAGGGACATGTATGCATGTCTGTTGTGCCCAGACAGTCCTCCTCATTGATTGATTTCTTTTAGGGAATGTCTTCACAGGTGAGCAGAATTTGACCACATAGGTTATCAGGTATCGGTGGAAATTTCTGACTGTGAATAGTGCCATCACAGTATATAAATAGGTACTGATTTTTAGAAGACTCAACACTATTTACTATCCTACAAAAAAAAAAAAAGTATTTTGTTTTGTGAAAAAAAAAAGTTTCTGAAATTTGTATAATATTCTGCTATGTAGTATAGTAATTATATAAAAAGTATTCTATAGAAAGAATTTTTAAATAGAGTAATAAATTTCTATGTGAATTGAAGAATTACTACTTAATGATTTATATCCTCCTGAAATTTTATGTAGCCTTTTTTTTTTTTTTGTAAATATTCATCTATTATTCTGAAGAACCAGAGCAACACTTGGTTTAATGGAATGAACTCTGGCTAGGAGTTGGAAGATGAAGGTTCTGTTTCCAGCCAGACCACCTATGACCTTGTGATCCTGGACACTGAAATTCAGTTTCTTGGTCTGTAAAATGGGATAATACTGCCAAGCTAGTTTTACAGGGCTGCTTTGGGGAATTCCTCCATAAGTCCACAAATCTGATTGTGTTCCCATTCTCAAAAACTTCATTAGCTCCCTATTCTCTACCCTTACAGGACAAAATTCAAAGCCTTTGACAAGGGCCTACAAAAGCCAGGGCCACAGAATCTAGTTTCTTCTTGGCCATTGCTCTGTGGCCACTCCACCCTTTGCATCAAATGGTGCATTACATGGGACTCTTCTATGTTCCCAGAGTCTACTCTGCTCCTTCCTGCCTCTGAGTTTTGCACATTCTGTTCCTATCATCTGGAATATACTGAATTCCCTCTCATCACTGCAATATCAGTTCACATGTTAGTGTTCTGGGAAGTTTCTCTCATCTAGTTGGTTTTAGCCTAGCTCTTTGGTGTTCCCAAAACCCTTTATAAAAACTATATTATGGTATTAACAATATTTTATTTGATAATCATGTAATGAGTCAGTCTCTGATATATACTGCTTTTCTAGTATGTAACATATCTTAACTTGTCCTCTCCATCAATACTAAAAAGAGTCTATCATATGGTACAGAAAAATGCTTGTTGTGTAGATGGACGAGTGAATAAAAAAAAAAGTTTTAGGAAGATAAACTATATCACCATAATATGAGTAATTGTTTTAGAAGAAGTAGTTGGATTATTAAACTAATTTACTTATTAATTCAACAAGTATTTATTAAGCACCATTACATATCAATTATATTACAGCTACTAAAAATGCTACAATGAGCAAAAAATACATACATACATACATACATAATCTCATACTCTCATGTGGCTGTACATTCTAGAGGGAGAGATGAAAAATAAAAAGAAGGGGCCACCTGGGTGGCTCAGTCTGATAAGCATCTGCCTTCGGCTCAGGCCATGATCCCAGGGTCCTGGGATGGAGCCCTGTGTTGGGCTCCCTGCTCAGCAGGAAGTCTGCTTCTCCCTCTCCCTATACCCCCCACTCATGCTCTCTTTCATTCACTCTCTATCATAAATAAATAAATAAATAAATAAATAAATAAATAAATAAATAAATCAGATAGTGCATTAGACAGTGATAAATCAAAAGAGAAGAGAAACCAGGAAACAGGTATAAGAAATTTCAGGGAAGAGAGGATGATAAGATGATAAGAAACAAAATATAAAACATTTTGTTTTTTAAATATGTCATCTACCCTATTCCTTTTCCCACACATAATTTAGCACTGAATTCTTAAAATTTTATTGTCTTAATTAATATACCTCAATACCTTCCATTTCTATCCAATCCTCAAAGTCACTGCCCTTAACCAGGCCACCATCTTCTTGTCCTGAATTACTGTAATAGCCTCTTACAAAGGGATTTCCTATCATGTTTCCCACCACTCCACCTTACAAGTGACCTTTCATGTCACTCCTCTGCTTAATATCCTTCAATGGCTGTTCATCACTCTCAGGGTAGAGTTCAAATTTCTTCATATAACCTACAGGTCTCAAAACATTCTCAACCCTGCTCACTTTTCGAGTCTCATTGTCCAACACTTAACTTGCACCAAAATTCTGAATTCTCAAATATTCCATGCCTTTCTTGAGCTAAACTTGGGTTTGGAATTCTGTCTCCCAGTATTCTCCTTTGGTTAAATCTTTTTTATACTCATGTATCTTTTGAGATTTGGCTTCATTTGAGAGGTCTCCCCACATCTCCTTACTCTGCCTTCCCAACTACCATATACCACCTGACTCGTAGCACTTCTCACACTGGACGCTAATCATTTTCTCAGCTATTTGTATCACAAGCATCATGAGTACACACTTCCCATATTTGTTGTACACTGTTTTATCTACATATTGGTGCTCAAAATTTTGTACTGATTTAGATTAAGTTGAATTGAATTAGACAAAAATTTCGGTAAATAAAAAATAAACCATAACAGAAGCATAACAGAATATGCTTCTTTCCATATAATAATTTGGGAGCTTATTTATTCATGATTTAAAATGGATTTCTGTCCAATTACACCAAAATCATTTGGGAAAAAATGAAGTCTTTGCATCATGAATGAAAATTTTTGTAACTCATTCTGCTCTAAATCTGTATCACTTTGCAAACAAATACACTATAGTGCAGATCTATGTGTTTAATTTAGGTTTTATACTGCTTTAATGTTTTTAAAGATTTTTCTGGTTTTAAAACAACAAAAAAAAACCCTGAATTTCCTCATGAAAAATAAATTTTCAATGCCAAATAATATTATAGCACTAGGCTGAATTCAAAAACTTGTGCTGGGTAAAGTATTTGGGCCAGAAATTGTGACAACTCTGTCTTCTATGCATAGGACACAGAATCTGTCCCTTCATGGAGAAAGGGGCTGGGAATCACTCACCTGAAGTAACCAATGATGATAATAGCCACAGCCAAGGAACCGAAAGAGACAGAATATCCAATTGTGTACATGACATAGAGGCGTTCAAAGAATTCTTGCTGAAGGCGAAGAGATTTAATTAGAAAAATAGCTTTTAACAAGTACATGTCAATAAACTAACAAATCACACTCCTGTTTAGAGACAGGCAGTGTATTATCACACTTATATAACGTGGGTTATTCATCTGGCCTTTCTTTTATTTCCTAAATTCAAGTCAGAATTAAAGATGTAATAATAATATTTGGAATTTCTTGCTTAAGTGAGGCCAAATTAAATGTTGCAATATTTCCTTCATGAATTTTTGCACTGTCGTTTTGACTAACTGGAATTTTATACCAGACGTGATATTTGAAGTAAACAAAACACATTTTGCAGGGCTATTGTAAGAAACTGATAAAAACAATGTCATTTTTGGAATACTATTTCTCATTTTCCTTAAGCTTTTTTTGTTGAGCTGTAATTTACATGAAATAAAATGTACAGATCTTAAATGAGCAGTTTGATGAGTTTTGACAAGCCAGGTTTGCTGTGCACCTTGCCAGTCAAAAACCCACTCACCACTTGCTCCCAGGTAGCTACCAATCCCATTTCTGTCATCACAAATTGGCATTTTCTGTTCATGTACTTCGTGTACTTTTTGACTGTTCTTAGACTTCTTAGAATTAGATAGTATATACTTAGGATATACATTTTTGGCAACATACTACTTTTGATATTCACCAATATTGTTGCATGAATCAACAGTCCATTCCTTTGTAATTTAAAAAAAATTATAAAGTTACAAGAACTGGTAAAGATAGTCAAAAAGGTCCCATGTATCCTTCACCCAGTATTCTTTAATGGTTACATCTTAACATAATTATATTAAAATATCAAAGGCAGAAATCTGACATGGTGCAATTTGTGTGTTTATAGTTCAGTTCTGTGTCATTTTATCACATATGTACATTTTTGCAACCAATACTGCAATCAACATAACCATTCTACCCCGTCCAAGATCTGCCTTGCGTTGTCCTTTAAAGTCACCCATATCCCCCTCTTCCCTGGCATCCCCGACACCTATGACCACTAATCTGTTTTCTATCTCTGTAATTTTGTCGTTTCATAAGTGTTATAGAAATGGAATCATACAGTATGTGGCCTTTTGAGATTGGCTTTTTTTTCACTCACAATAATGACCTCAAGATCCATGGAAGCTGTTGTATATATCAAGCTTGGTCTTTTTTATGGCTAAATACCATTGCATGGTATGTATGCAACCTACGAATATCAGTATCTGTGAAATGTTTCAAACTTTGTAGACAGCATACATTTGGGTCTTGCTCTTTAATGGATTCTTTCAATCTGTTAATTGGCATAATTAGACCATTTTTTAAATACAATATTGATATGTTAAGGCAAAGCCCATCATTTTATTTTTTATTTTCTGTTGTTCTATTTTTCACTTCTCTGTTTTATTTTTCCTGCCACCCTGTGGTTTACTTGAACATTTTGCAGAATTCCATTTTGATGTCCCTTTTTGTATACTGCTTTTGGTGGTTGTTCTATGTATTAATGTGGAGCCTTTGATTACTGAATACTTACCTTTCTTATTTTTTCATTAAGTGTATAATAAGCTATAAATACCCTTTTAAACCCTGCTTTTCCTGTTTTCCCCAATTTTTTATATATCCAGCTTTCATAATTATTCAAACTTTTGCCATGGGTCACATATTTTCCAACTATTTGTGAATTGTCCACATATTCCATTTGAATTAATTTCCAGTTAATTCTTTTGTGGTCAGAAAATACACTCTGTATGATTTTAATCTTGAGAATTATTGAAATTTGTTTATAGTCTAGTATATGTTAAATCTTGAAGAACTTTTAGTCTGTAACTTAAAAGAATGTGAACTTTGTAGTGTTTGGTGATTGTATAAATGTCATTTTCATCAAATTGTATGAAAGAAATCCTATGAAAGTTTTTGTCTAATTGTTTTACCGATTACTGAGAGAATGGTACTTTTATAAACTCCAACTTGGTGGGATTTGATCATGTCTCCCTTTTGCTTTGACAATTTTTGCTTTATGCAATATGAGGCTCCTAAATGCATGGATATTTATTATCACTATTTCCTTCTGGTAAATAGATTCTTTCATCATTCTGATATGTCCTTCCACCTTAGTAGTACTCTGTCATAAAATCTAGTTAGCCACACCAACTTTCTTAGGCTTAGGCTATGCACTGCATATGACTTATTCACCCTTTTAATTTCAACAGATCTATTATCTCCACATTTATCTATATCTTTACATCTAGAGTACATTTCTTGCAAATGGTATATAATTAAGTCATACATTTATTACCCATTCTGCCTTTCAAGTGGCTGTTTAGTTCATTTACATTGGACATAATCATTGCTGTGGTTGGGCTTAAATATAAGACATTAATATTCACATTCTATATGTCTATCTTTTCTTTGTTCCTCTGTACCTGCTTTCTTACCTTTTATTTGAGGAGGGGAGGGCCAATCAAATATTTCTTAATATTTCATTTGTGTTATTTTTTTAGCAATTATGCATCCTGAAATTATCAGAGCCTCCACTTAAATAATATTGAACTATTTCACAAAAAGTTTCTCATAAAAAGTTTACAACCATATACTCAAATTCACTTTCCAGACGTTGTCCCTTTTAGATTTTGTCTACATATTTTATAAACCCTAATAAAAGGCTATTATGTTTGCTTTAAGCAGTCAATAGACTGCTTTTTTATTTAAAGATTTTTAAATAAAAGATTTTTTTTATTTATTTGAGAGAGAAAGAGCACAGAGGGAGAAGCAGACTTCCTGCTGAGCAGAGAGCCCAGTGCAGGACTTGATCCCAGGACCCCGGGAACATGACCTGAGCTGAAGGCAGACACTTAACCAACTGAGCCACCCAGGCACCCCAGTCAATAGACTTAAATGAATTATAGCTAAAGATATAAAGATAGATATAAATATAACAACTAATAAGGAAAAGAATATAGCTTCATTTATTATTTTAGTCTGTCATTTTTATCCGTATATACCGTTCTGGTCCTCCTCATTCCTTCCTACCAATCTATGTTCCTAGCTGATATATTTCTCTTTGACCTGGAGAACTCTCTTGAGCATCTCCTATACTGAAGGTATGATGAAGATGAATTCTCTTATATATTTTCTGTCTAAAGAGTATCATTATTTTACCATTATCTTAATGCATATTATCACTTTAAGATGTCACCCTATTGTATTTCAGCCTCCATTGTTTGCTGCCTAAAAGACAGGTACCCTTTTTATTGCTGTTCCCTGCATATTAATGTGCCATTTTCTCTGTCTGCTTTTAAGATTTTCTTTTACTGTATTTACAGCAGTTTAACTATGATGTACCTAAGTATGATTTTCTTTTCATTTATCTTGCGTAGGGTTTGCTAAGTTTTTGGAATGTGTGGGTTGACTGATTTCATCCATTTAAAAAATTCTTGGCCATTGTCTCCTCAAATATTTATTTTGTCCCATTCTCTCTCTTTATCTCTACTTTCACCTATGTTAGACAATTAAATATTTGTCTCACAAGTCTCAGATGCTTCTGTTATTTTATTTTTTCTCCTAATGCTTCAGTTGGAAAATTTCTATCAACCTCTCTTTAAGTGCATCGATCTTTTTTATCATGCTGTATCCAGTATGCTGTTGAGCATATCAAATGAATGCTTCATTTTTGAATTGAATATTTCCACTTTAGAAGTTCTATATTGCTATTTTTTGAGGTTTTTATTTCTTTGATTTTCCCACCTGTTTTATGTGCCTTTTTCACTAAATAATATAACATGTTTATAATAGTTATTATTAAATACTCATCTGCAAATTCCAACATCTGGATCATCTGTTTTTTTCCTGCCCTTACTTTTACTATAGATTTTGGGTCTCTGCCTCATAATTTGGTATCACATACCAGGACTGTTTGTTAGTGAAATAATAGTAGAGACTAAAGTGTATGATTTCAACTGCCTGAAAAGTGCAAGCCTCTTCCTCCATCAGGTAAGGAGGCTGGATTACTCTGTTAAACTAAGTTGAGCTTTGTTGTAGTTTTATGTTTTTTTTTTTTTTGACCCTTTTATCCTGGTTTTAGGTTTTGAGAGCAGAATCAGGACTCAGACAGCTGACCTCGAGATCTTAGCACTAGCAGCCCCTACTGGCCATTATGTGAATTTTAGTCCACTTGACATTTTTGAACCACAGAACTTTTGCTATGTGAATCATCCATCAGTTTTTTGAGATGTTAAGGATTTTACTTCGTTCTGCCGCCCTCCCTTGACATGCAGGCTGTGCAATCAAGCACCATGTACCTTAAAGCATGTCTCTTAACAGCTATGTTCTGTTCCATGCCTTTGGCTAAGTGCTGCCTTTCACTCAGAGAGTGTTTTGCACCTCTCAGGGAAATTGTCTTAGCTACCCCCCCCAGTGCTGCCCCCAGCCCAAATTTGACAACAGGGCCTCCACACACTCAGTGAAGGCTCCATGAAAAAAAAAACTGGCTAATGGGTGATAGCACACTGAATGGGGCTCACTTCTTGGGATTCTAAGCCCTTATGCCAGCCCTCATCTGTTAAAAGTTGGTTTGAGGGGCGCAGTTGGCTTAGCAGCCGACTCGTGGTTTTGGCTGACATCAGGATCTCAGGGTCCTGAGACGTGGCCCTGCATCTAGCCCCAAGTCTGATGCCCCAAATGGCAGTGCAAGGTCTGCTTCAGGATTCTCTCTCTCTCCCACTGCCTCTCCCCCAGCTTGCTTGTGCATGCGTGCACTCGCTCTCTCTCTCTCTCTCTCTCTCTCTCTCTCTAAAGCAAATAAATAAACAGTTGATTTAAAAGCTTGGCTCTTTTCTTGCAATCACCTTCTATGGCTTGGTTGTTCTTCTTCTGCTACAAACCCAGGGATAAATATCAGTCATGGCTCACTTCTCTTATAGGAAGGGTTTGCCCACTTCTAGAATGAGGATCATTAGGCTTGCTTGGCATCCTCAGCTCACTGCTCACTGATGAGTTATTACAAATAACTGATTTTATGTCTTAATCTACTCCTACTGTGACAACTTCCTGCATCCTAACTGAAAGCAAAAGATTTTGCCTCTTGTTCCTTTTTTAAAAATGTTTACTACGTATTATTATCAGTTAATAAAATACTAAAACTTTTTGTAGAAAATATTTGGGGGCACCTGGGTGGTTCAGTCAGTTAAGCCACCGACTCTTGGTCTCTCTCAACTCAGGTCTTGATCTCAGGGTCATGAGTTCAAGCTCCTTACTGGGCTCCATGCTGGGCATAGAGCCTACTTTAAAAAAAAGGAAAGGAAAAGGAAAAGGAAAGGAAAGGAAAGGAAAGGAAAGGAAAGGAAAGGAAAGGAAAGGAAAGGAAAGGAAAGGAAAGGAAGGAAAGGAAAGGAAAGGAAAGGAAAGGAAAGGAAAGGAAAGGAAAGGAAAGGAAAGGAAAGGAAAGGAAAGGAAAGGAAAAAGAAAAAAGAAAATATTTGGATAATGTGTGAAATACAAAAGCGGGGGGAAGGGGGGGTTCTGAATTCCTACCAAAAAGAAACACTATATTTCATGTATGTCTTTTTATTCTATCTCTATGCAGCATTTTCTATTGTTTTGAGCATCTACATTCCCAATTTACATATAACTTTATTACCTGGGGGTTTTTTCGGTTAACTACATAACAAAGGAATTTCCTAAGGCCATGAGCTCTTTACAAAAAAAAAAAATTATAGGAGTTTATTTAACTTTCTCTGGAAGGTTCTTCACTAGAAACTTAAATTCTTCAGAATATTGACTATAAATATTAATGGTTCAATGAACATTTTGTCCATTCAATTCCCACTTCAAATCCTTATACTTGAATCTTAGAAATAACATTGTAAGATCAAAGGATATGACTGCTTTGAAGTTTTTGTAATATACATTTCTAAATTGCTATCCAGAAGTTCATTTAACCTTTAAACATGAGACGTATTATATGGTAATTTCTACAGTCTGCTACTGCTTTAAATATAATACTCTAACGAATTTAATAAACTTCTGGCCTATCAGAAGTGTTCCTTCCCATCTTTTTCCTAAAAGTAACTGTCTTATCTTGTCAAGCCAACAGTAAAGAACTTATTAAAGAAACAATAGATGTTTAAAAAACCTTAGTCTTATTTATCCCAGTAAAGATGTTTATTCTTAATGTGCACATTTTTGTTTTTTATTTCTTGTTCCTTATATAAAAATTCTCATTACAACCATTAATAATTAATATCTCATAAATAAGTAATATCACTTTGCCTTAGAGTATATCAAAATTTCAGGAGATATCCAGTTTTCTTACTAGGGGATATTTAGTTTTCTTAAGTTTTTTCAAATTATTGCTTAGGGTTATAAACAAGAGAAAACACTCTTTACATTTTTAATTATGGAGATAAAATTATTGATGCTAACAAAATTCATCAATTTTTTTCAGTTAATTTTTAGATCATGTTTACATGAAACAATACATGCTTGGGTATACTACCATCCTTAGCTACTTTGATTGTTGGAATACACAGTAATCACAAAGAGTGGTTACAGGATTAGAGTTCAGTGTAAATAAAACCATGATTTAATTTAATGTCCATTTAAAAGCTGTGAAAGGCAAAATAAATAAATAAATAAAAGCTGTGAAAGACATGCCTTCATCATCATTTCATGTACAAATAAATTCATCACAGAGTACACTAAATATTGAGTATTTCTTTCTGTTGATGAAATTAAAATTATTTTCAAACATTTTATACAAACTCACTGTTAGTTTTAGCTCCATTGTGGAATACATCATCTCCTCACATTGACTAATTTTATCCAAAAAGTTTGTCAACAGTGACCTAAATGGAGCTGAAGGTCTTTCAGCAACTTACTAAAGAGTTCATTAAGGTGGTAGTGCTTTGTGTAGAAAAGAAGTAAGTTAAGAAAGGAAGTCCTGACTAGTGCAAAATGCAAAATCAAAGAAATCTGTAACTCACTGCTTCTCCTCCTGCTCTCCCTGCTTCTCCCCTCTCCAAAAAAAAATCAAGCATAAAGAAAAATCTCTAATGCTTGTAGAGTTTATGTATGACAGACTGTTCTCAGGGTCCCCATAAAAATCATTTATACATCTATTTATCATGTTCACTCTTAACATCGTATGCATGTATCATCATGCATTTTACTCATGAGGTTTGAGTGATAGGAAATTAAGCATGACTTTTAAAGCACCATGTATCACTTAAAAGTGACTATCTAGAAGTTTCCAAAGTTTACAACAGTTTGCTATACTGCAAATAGCACTGATGAAGAACTTGGATATAGGGATTCTGCTTTAGATCCTGTCATCAGTGAGCTGGGCCACTCTGACTAATACCTAATCTCTGGCTCTGAGCTGACTCAGGTATAAAATTAAGGCATCGTCCATAAGACCTAAAGGATGCCCCTTGCTTCTAAACCTTAATGCTACAACTCTAATCTTTCTTATGCTAATGAAATCACCTACTGGCTAATCTTATGAAATGAAAAATACATCTTTAAAATACAAATCTCAGGACGCCTAGGTGGCTCAGTGGTTGAGCATCTGCCTTTGGTCCAGAGCATGATCCCAGGGTCCTAGGATCAAGTCCCGCATCGGGCTCTCTACAGGGACCTGCTTCTCCTTCTGCCTCTGTCTCTGCCTCTCTCTCTTGTGTCTCTGATGAATAAGTAAATCTTTAAAATAAATAAAATAAGTAATAAAATAGAATACAAATCTCCTTCAGGAATATAGAATGAAATGAGATGTAGCCATTCACAGGTAACAAGAAATTGTAAATCATGGTGCTGACTACCTATTTTGATTTGTATGCATAATCTAATGTAGTATAGCTAAATATAATGTACACATAACATACTATAACACAATATACAGACACATATTTATAGTATATATGCATATATCTCAGCCAGATAACTCTAACTTAAAGAAAAAAACTAGAATGTTTCAGGTCCTACACCTTTCCTTAACTGGATAGCTAAAAAGATTCCAACTTTGCTTTCATCTTTTATAATCTTTGTGTCCTAGAATAAAGAGGTGTTTATATGTGATAGTTGACAATTAAGAAATGCAATAAAAATATTATTCCATTTTCCCTTAGGGGCTCACAAATACAAAGGTATCATTACCTTTCCTATGCTGATATCTTGCTGCAGGAAACGAAGGCAGTCTGAATAATTAGCCCACGTTTTATTTAAACTATACATAAAATCCCATGTTCCATTGGGGTTACAGTGTCGGAAAGCAACTCCTGTAAAGACATGAAGAAAAACATTGAGATTGCTCAATTCACTTGGCCCTCATTAGGGGGGAAAAAAAGTACATTTCTCTTTTTTTTAAAGTACATTTCTATTCCAAGTTAATCATTTCAGAAAAACTCAATACCTTTATGATTGAAGTCATAAATATAAGGAGGGCATGGGACAGCCAATATTTTCCCCACTGTTCCTCTGGGCCAACAAATGAGTCCATCCCATTCTGGGAAACAATTCCCCTCTAATAAAGAAAAAAATTAAAAAGCAAATAAACAAAAATGCAATTGGAACCAGATAATAGATGCACTCAAAATACAAAATTCCAGGTCTCCATCTTAGCAAAGTGTAAAACAAATTGGTGGTTGTGGAAACTAGAATGGGGTTGATATGAGGCAAATGTCCTAAGAGTCATCCACCTATTTCATAAAGATCTATTAATAGGAACATTTGGTTTGCATAAATTAAAAATATTTTAGTGATTCCACTAGATGTGAGTTGAGCAAGTAACATAAAGGAAACACTGGAATTCATTGTGAACATCTTTAGTAAAATTCAACCATAGTTATAACTACATTTTTTTACTTGATATTTTTAAAAATTGCTATTAAAAAATATGATATGTGAAACAAACTGAGCTTCCCAGGCATGCTCCAAGACTTGAGTTTGCCTTTTTACCAATACGTCTTTGCTTATTTTTTTCCAATAATTCTAGTAATTTGTTTGAGTCTAACACTCATGTCAAAATTCTCACAAGCTCTACTCTCCTCAAGAATCAAGTATAAAAAGATTTGGATTGGAGGTATCGAATTGACAAAATGCATCCATAACTGCAGTACTTTTCAAAACCTCCATTGCCACACCATGGTCCAAGTTCATCAATCATGATATTTACACAGAACAATCTAAAATTTGGAGACTCCAAGTTTGTCTTTATTCAGTTCTATAACTGAACTGATAATGTAATGTAACCATAACACAAGTAATATACATTTGTGAAGTCAAACCGGGATCAATAAATTTTGGGTTTTCAATTCCCAAAATTTAACTACTTGAATAATTTTATAGGTAGGTATTTGCATTTACCTTTTATTTTGTTTCATAGACATTAGGAAAATTTTTATTATAAAAATTTTTCATAAATATACCAGAATATTTATATATATACATATATATATACACACAAACATCGCCTAGAATTGATACTTGCTAATATTTTACCATATTTATTTCATCTAATTTATTTTCTTGCTGTGGTATTTTAAAGTAAATTGCAGACAGCATAACAGCTCACTCTTAAATATTTTGATATGCAGCTCTCAACCTTAAAAGAATTTAAAAGTGGAAATTTCTTAACTTACTGAAATCAAAATGCTGTTCTAGTTTTTTACACACACATTGAAGAAATTTTTCATTGAAAGGTAAATCTGGTCTTCCAGGGTCCATTCTTGCTCTCCCTTCATTCGTTCACACAATAAGCCAAAATCTCCCAAAGGCTTCCCATCTCACTCCCAGCAAAAGCCAAGTCTTTACAGTGTCTGAAAGCCCTGCAAAATCCACTTTCCCCGCTATCTCCTCAACTTCAGTTCTGCTAAGATCCTCCTAGTTCTCCCTCCAATTTGGTGTGTTCACCAAATGGCCTGAAGGCTTATTCCCCTCCATCCTACAGACTTTTATTCACAGCTCACTTTTGAGTAAACTCTCCCCACTTACAATTACATCCAAAGTACTCCTTATTCCCTTTCCTTCTATATTTTTTAACTGCATTCTCATCGCATTCCAATAGTAAGTGTGGGGAATTTTGTCTGTTTTTGGCAAGGGCTTAACAAATATTCGGTCAGTGTCAACACTCTGTTCTTCAGGACTCCTCTTCATTAGTTGTATATTGAACTTCCAAGAAACGAGCATATCCTCCATTTAAAAATGAGATCACTTTTAATGAGTGTTGTATTCATTTTTCTATTGCTACCATAACAAATTACCACAAACTTCACAGCTTCAAATAACTCATACTTATTATCTCACTATTCTGCTTTAAGTCAGAAGTCCAGTGAGTTCAGCCAGGACTGAGTTCCCCATTTCCTCACTAGCTCAACTTCTAGAAGCCACTTGGATTCCTTGGTTAATGACTCCCTTCCTCCATCTTCAAAGTCAGCAAGGCAGGTTGAACCCTTCTTACATTTCCAGTCTCTCCTCCACTCTTCTTTCCCCTTACTGATTCGTCCACCCTCCTCTGAGACTTTAAAGGGAACAAGAGATTAAATCTGACCCACCCAGATAATCCCGGATAACCTCCCTATTCTAAGGCCCATAACTAAACCCATCGGCAGCATCCTTGTGCCACGTTACATAGCATACACAGGCATAACACCAGGTAATAGGGTCTGGACATCTTTGGGGACCCTTATTCTGCTACCATGAGTACCATCCCTTACAGCTTTCTCAATTTTTTAATTGCAAATCACATTTACTGAAGCTGAGGAATTTTGTTCTAGCTGATGTTCATGTTGTCAAGTTGTTTGTTCAGCTTCGAACAGTCCCACAAACCCTGATCTGTACAGAAAAGAACTCAGCATAAACCTGAAATTAACTTTTTAGCGTCCTCCATATCGAATGGAAACAAATAACTTGATTTGCTTTGGGAATTGCTGAAGCAATAAGAAAAAGGAAATGTCTTCTGTCGCCTACACTGTTCTTACAGAAGAGGACATTTTCTTGGAAACAGCCTCACTTTGCTCACACAATAGAAGCCTGTGCTTCCCATATCACAAGCAACCCAGGAATCCATAACACTGGCTTTTGCTGCTGGAGCACAGCTTCACCTGTTCCTTTCCATCATTACCTGTGTTCTGTTTTACTTTCTTGTTTAAACAGAGTGCAGTGAATTAATCTCCTTCATCAACTTTACCCTAGACACTCTTCTGTATCTTGCTGCCACTCCATATGGCTTCCCATTCATTCACGCTGTCTTTAACAAGTCATTCATCCTCATTTACCTACAATCCTTTACCAGCTATCGTGCACTCTACAAAAACTGGACCTGGACACACATTCTTTTATTCCGATAGTTGCCCCTCTAAAATGTATGCTGCAGGGGTGCCTGGGAGGCTCAGTCAGTTAAGCACTCAATTCTTGATTTTGGCTCAGGTCATGACCTCAGGGTTGTGAGATTAAGCCCCATGTAGGGCTTCACACTGAGTCCCTCTCAGTGGGACTCCTCTTCCTTGGTCCCTCTGTCCCTCCCTGCTGCTTGCACTCTCTCTCTCTCTCTCTCTCTCTCTCTCTCTCAGATAGATAGATAGATGATAGATAGATAAAAGATAGATAGATAGATAGATAGATAGATAGATAGATAGAAAAAGAAAATAGATAAAATGCAATGTTGCAATTTTCTGGCAATAGTTACATAATGGAATAAGGTGTTCATACAAGTTTAAAACCTAATGACCATTTATTCTATAACTATGTATTTTTTAAACTACTATGGAGACAAATCTGCTGATATTTTCCTCATTCTCAAGGAGACAGTTTTCTAGTTCCCTATAAGATACCACCCCACACACATGCACACACACTCCCCAAAATTCAGAAAACCAACATTCCTCAAAAATAGTGTTTCTGTAGATTCTGTTCATCTCTCTGGCGGCTCTTGGGCAAAGAGAATAATAAATATTCACAAAGGTTGAAAGGATTGGGGAAGCCATGGCCTCACACAGCTAATATAGAGATCTTAATTAACATCTACTCTTTGATCATCATTTCACATCCTATGCGAGTAAATACTTTTATTCGTTACCAAGAAACTAATTAATTGCCTGATGATTCACCCATCTCTCTTTATAAATTAACACTATTAATTACATTCCTTGTTATCTCTTGTGTGTGCCAGGACAAACTACTTATTAGCGATGCTTGTCAAACTATGATCTTTACACAGAATGGTCTAAAATTTGGAGACTCTAACTTTTTCTCTTTCAATTCCACAGTTACCCGTAATAAGTGTAACCAAACATTTGTGAAATCGAACTGGGATCAATAATATTTTGGGTTTTGTTTTTAACTACTTGAATCATTTTATAGATAGGTATTTGCATTTAAACTTTCATTTTCATAGTCATAAAAAAATCTGTATTTTCTTTTTATTACACTTTTTTTCAAAAATAAAACATAGAATGTCTTATATATATATGTATATATGTATATATACATCACCTAGAATTGACACTTGCTAATATTTTCCCATATTTATTTCATCTAATTTATTTTTTGCTGTGGTATTTTAGAGTATATTGTAGACAGCACAACAGCTCATTCCTAAACATTTTGATACACCTTTTTCAACTTTAAGAGAACTTAAAGATGGAAATTTCTTAAATTACTAGCGAATTCAAAATATCATTCTAGTTTTTTTTACATATAAACTGAAGACATTTTTAGTCAATTTACTATAATTACATATATTTTCATTAAAAGGTAAATCAAAATTTGACCAGATTTAATTCTATCCTATTTGTACAAAGAAAGACCTCAAAGAAAGTGCCTTTTCTCTTTAAATATTTATTCACCTATATGTTTCCCATGATTCACACTTTCAGAAGTTTTAGACATAAGTTTATATCCAGATACTTTATTCTTTTTATGTGTCACTCATGTGACATGTGACTCTTCATCGTTGCTTGGCTTTGCCTATCCTATTCCCTCTGCCAGGAATGTCTTTTTTGTTTCCTCCTCTACACATCTAATTCCCACCCCCTTACTCTGAAAATGAAATGATTATTCCCCCAGGAAGCCTCCTCCAATCCATCATCCTCAATCAAATAAGATACCTTTTCAACGGGTCCATAGTTGTGATACTTCTGTTGTTAAACTTACACACACATACTCCTGTTATTAAACTTACATCTCCATCATCTCCATGGGGCAAGGACAGAATAGGGTCATTTTTTCCAGCACTTACTACAGAAACAATACACTGTGAGCAAATAATATATTTGTTGAACTGTTAAAGAGACACTAAAGATGACAATGTTGGACTAGCTAGTCTCTATATTCCAGCTCAATATTTCATGGGACTTTATAGAAAATAGTTCATTTAGCCTTCATAGATAATAATCTTTATAAATTCCTTAATGGTGATGTTACTCCTTGTTAGTAGACCTGCATGTTTGAGCTATCAGAATCAGTGCTCTTTACAGGTACATGAATGAATCTCTTTTCTGACACTGTTAGTGTCAGAGAACTCCTTCCTAGGAAAAGACACCTACAAAGACTGGATTAATATAAAAACCTGCTTTCTTAAAACATGGCTTTGCTGACTATAAATGAAAGGAATAGAGCTGAGGCCAGAAATTATTTCATAGGATCAGCAGGCACTGTATTTAGGGCTTTACCCTGGAAGCCTTTACTGATCTGTTGGCTTAGAGCTTGGATTTCGATTGTGTTCAAGTAACAAAAGATGAGCCTGAGGCCTGATGCAGTCAAGAAATTGAACAGGAACTCCATGTATAATGTCAGGATCCCATCCAGACATGACCCCATTAGTTAGTGAACAAGAAACAAAACTGTCCTTCAGAAAGAGATTGGCCATGAAATGGGCAAAAGACATGAACAGAAGTCTCACAGACGAAGACATAGACATGGCCAACATGCACATGAGAAAATGCTCCGCATCACTTGCCATCAGGGAAATACAAATCAAAACCACAATGAGATACCACCTCACCCCAGTGAGAATGGGGAACATTAACAAGGCAGGAAACAACAAATGTTGGAGAGGATGCGGAGAAAAGGGAACCCTCTTACACTGTTGGTGGGAATGTGAACTGGTGCAGCCACTCTGGAAAACTGTGTGGAGGTTCCTCAAAGAGTTAAAAATAGACCTGCCCTACGACCCAGCAATTGCACTGTTGGGGATTTACCCCAAAGATTCAGATGCAATGAAACGCCGGGACACCTGCACCCCGATGTTTCTAGCAGCCATGTCCACAATAGCCAAACTGTGGAAGGAGCCTCGGTGTCCATCGAAAGATGAATGGATAAAGAAGATGTGGTTTATGTATACAATGGAATATTCCTCAGCCATTAGAAACGACAAATACCCACCATTTGCTTCCACGTGGATGGAACTGGAGGGTATTATGCTGAGTGAAGTAAGTCAATCGGAGAAGGACAGTGTATGTTCTCATTCATTTGGGGAATATAAATAATAGTGAAAGGGAATATAAGGGAAGGGAGAAGAAATGTGTGGGAAATATCAAAAAGGGAGACAGAACATAAAGACTCCTAACTCTGGGAAATGAACTAAGGGTGGTGGAAGGGGAGGAGGGCGGGGGGTGGGGGTGAATGGGTGACGGGCACTGAGAGGGACACTTGATGGGATAAGCACTGGGTGTTATTCTGTATGTTGGTAAATTGGACACCAATAAAAAATTAATTTATTAAAAAAAAAGAAAAGAAAGAGATTGGCTTGTTTCACTCCTGGCTCCATGTAGAATTAGAATAGAAAACAACAGAAGAAACAATTCTCTGAAAATTTCTAACTAAAAGCTCACATTCATGTGTGGTTTAAATTTAGTTTAAAGTAGACTTAGGTCACCTAACAGAAGTAACAGAAATCGTCTCTGGAAAAATGTGTCTTTGGGGCACCTAGGTGGCTCAGTTAAGTGTCTGCCTTTGGCTCAGGGCATGATCCCAGAACCCTGGGATCAAGCCCCTCATCAGACTCCCTGCTCAGCGAGGAGTCTGCTTCTCCCTCTGCCCATCCCCACTTCTTGTGTGCTCTCTCTCTCTCAAATAAATAAAATATTTTTTTAAAAATGTGTTTTCAATGAGAACCTCATGAGATGTTTATCATAAATCATTAGACACACAGGGAATAAACCACCGTGTGAGGTAATAAGTATTGAAAAGCAAAGTCTATGAATATTAGAATTATCAAATATTATAATTCTGCTATTTGAATAAAAAACATAGGGCAGCCCGGATGGCTCAGTGGTTTAGCGCCGCTTTCAGCCGAGGGCCTGATCCTGGAGACCCGGGATTGAGTCCCACGTCGGGCTCTCTGCATGGAGCCTGCTTCTCCCTCTGCCTGTGTCTCTGACTCTCTCTCTCTCTCTCTCTCTCTCTCCCTCTATCTCTCTGTCCCTCATGGATAAATAAATAAAATCTTTAAAAAAAAAGAATATAAAACAGGTTTAATAAAAAAGAGAAGAAATTGAAAAGATATTGAAGATAAAAAAGACTATAAATACTAAATATAAAGATTCCAGAAAGTGAAAAATGGATAATCGAAATTAACTTAATGGATGGATTAAACAACCATTAGACAAAGCTGAACAAAGAGTTAGCAGATTGGAAAATATATCTGAAGAAATTACCAAAACAGTAGAGAAACAAAGTAAAGAAACAAAGAAAAGAAAAATATACAAGACATGAAGACACAAAGAGTAGGGAGAAAAGATCCTACATTTGTCTAACTGGTGTTCCAGAGAGAAAGACTAGGAGAATGAGGGAAAGCAAAGTTTCAAAGACAAAATAGCAAACAATTCCCACCAATGACTAAAGGCAGATCCTCAGACTTCAGAAATCAAATAAATCTGTACCTAGATAACAGAATAAAATTGCAGAATATCAAACTCAAAGAAAAGCTCTTAAAAGGAACTAGAGAGAAAAAATAATTAATCATCAACAAAGACTGAAAACTGATTTGCCACCAACAGCAACGGAAGCTAGGGCAAAGATTAAATAATATTCAGGTGCTAAAAGTAAATAATTCTCAACCAAGGATCCTATGTTCAGAAAAAGCATCTTTGAAGCCTGAGACAGAAATAAACACTTTTTCAGACAAGCAAACACTGAGAGTATTCACTGCCAGCAACTTCTAACATAAAGAAATCTTACAAAAAGACATTCTTGTAAATTTTTGAAGAAAAATTAAAATATATAATTAAGATAAAACTATATGACCTTATTAATGTAAAATTATATGACAATAACATATAATTTGGGAGAAATTAAAATATTTCAAATTGCTTATATTATTCAAGAGGTAGAAGTTATAGATAAACTTTAATAAAAATTCTTAAATTAAGTATTTGGAGATTAGAATGAAGTAGATCAAACCAGATATTTCATTATAGGGCATAGCTTTTTTTTTTCTTTTTAGGGAGGGAGAGGTGGGGGAAGAGGTAGGTAGAGAGAGAGAGAGTTAGAGCTTTAAGCAGGCTCCACACCCAGTGCAGAGCTCTACCCCAGGCTCAGTCTCACAAACCTGAGATCATGAACTGAGCCAAAATCAAAAGTCTTAAGCTTAACCAACTGAGCCATCCAAGCACCCTAGGGCATAGCATTTTTTTATTATTATTATTCAGTTTAGTTAACATATACTGTATTATTCTTTTCAGAGGTAGAATTTCGTGATTCATCAGTTGCATATAACACCCAGTGCTCATTACATCAAGTGTCCTCCTTAATGCCCATCATCTAATTACCTCATCCCCCCTCCCCCACCTCTCCTCCAGTGACCCTCAGTTTGTCTCCTATAGCTAAGAATCTCTTATGGTTTGTCTACTGCTCTGATTTCATTTTATTTTATTTTTTCCTTCTCTTTCCCTATGTTTATCTGTTTTGTTCCTTAAATTCTACATGAGTGAAATCATAAGGTATTTGTCTTTCTCTGACTTATTTTGCTTAGCATAATACCCCCTAGTTCCATCCAAGTCATTGCAAATGGCGAGATTTCATTCTTTTTGATGGCTAACAGTCCATTGTATATGTATACCACATCTTCTTTAATCATTCTTCTGTCAATGGACATCTGGTCTCCTGCCATATTTGGCTATTACGGACATTGTGTTTACAAACATTGGGATGTATGTGCCCCTTTGACTCCGTATTTTTGTATCCTTTGGATAAATACCTAGTAGCACAATTTCTGGGTTGTAGGGTAGTTCTATTTTTAACATTTTTGAGGAACCTCCATACTGTTTTCCAGAGTGGCTAAACCAGCTTGCATTCCCTCCAACAGTGCAAAACGGCCCTCTTTCTCCACATCACTGCCAACATCTGTTGTTTCCTGAGTTGCTAATTTTAGTAAGGCATAGCTTTAAAGACATTATCTGCTGCATTCTGACTGTTAGGAAGTTAGGAAAATCAGTAAATAGCACCTCTCTTTAAAAAAAAAATTCCTTAATTATAATCAACTATCAAGACAAGAAATTTTCCCATGTAAACTATTATAATTTACCTACTACTCCAAAGATTCCAATAAGTAACTTTTTTCAATGGCCACAATAAGAACTGTGAGTGAGCACCAGGCCCCAAGGAGCACAAGCCACAGGTTCCTGTATATTTACAAGAGTAGAACCACCCAAAAGCAGCAACACCACCACAAGCTCACCCGTAGTATTGTTTTGCTTTTCTAGTTCCCCACTTGAATTTGGAACTAATTGAGAAATTACACAAAGAGTCAGGCATATGGAAATTAAATGATTATTTTATTAAGAAAAAAAAATTTTTGAGAACAGGGCTTAGGTACATATAAAAGGGCCTCCTTGTTTGTTCTTCTGATATTTATCTGTACTACCCAAAAGTGCAAGCAATATGCGCAAGAAACAGAGCCTGCCCCCTCCAAGCCTACTACCTAGTTAAGGGCAAACCAGTACTCATGCTCTCCGCACGCAAACAGATCTGAGGCCTGAGAAAGAGATTGACATGCACATGCCCAGCTGCTACTCTGAAACTCAAAAATCAGGCAAGTCATTCTGTCCATATGGAGGGAAGAGCTTGTGGTTAAAGAAATGAGAAGAGCCTGATTCCATTCTACACGCTCCGTATAGAAACACAGAAAGACTAGTGAGGAACACTCTGCTACTACTTAAAAGGGAAACTTGAGTCTTTTTGAGGATTGGGGTAGGAACACAAGAAGACATAATTTTCAGCACCTTTACCTCCTTCCTGGAGCTGAGCTGTGATGTTGAGTTCACACTGTACTTTAGCTTTCAGCACAAGGACAATCTGCTCCTCTATAGTAATGGTGCCATCAGAATCCAGCTGTGGAAATGAACAAAATACAAACAGAAAAATATTCCCATTACCTCTTTTTTTTAAGCCATGACATAATCTTTCATTAATCTACCTCCTAATATATTTGAAAATTAAAGTTTTGATATCCAGCTATCTGGAATAGTCTTCTGAGTCAAACTTTTTACAAGATATCTTTCACCAGACACCTTGATACCCATTCTCACCCTGGAACATGCTTCTAACATACAAGTGAATAATGAATTCTTATTGAATGAGTTCACCTTGATTTGACTTTAACAGCACTAGTCATGGAGAGGAAATTCTACTTTGGAAAACTTTCATTTCAATGAAATATATTTTAAGCATGACAAAATATTCAGAAATGTTTGTTCCAAGTGTGATGCTTGGACCACCTGAATCTAATGCACATATAAAATGCAGATCCTTAGGCTACACATCAGATTCAGTGAATCAGAATTTATTTTTGGAGGTGGAGACTGATAATCCTCATGTTTCACAAGAACACTTTGTGTTTCTTGCACTAACTTTAATGGGTTTGAGAATGAACATATTTGAAGGCACACAATAAGTGTGAAGATCATTCTATTAGTCAAATTACAAATCAGAGAAGCAGAACTATTAAGAGATTAAGGTAGATTATAGAGAAATACAGGTAGAGATAGAGACAATAAGTACTTGTTTTAGGGGTTTGATTAAATGATTGTGGGAGGTAGTTAAACAATCTCCAGAAGGCTTTTTTTTTTTTGAGGTGGGGGGGCGGGGGTCCGATGCTGGATGTGGAAATCTGAAGGTCAGCCAGTAAAAAAGAGAAGATGAGTGTAAACAGAAGGAAAGTAAAAACAAACTGGAACCATGAGCATGAGCTAGAAACCATGAGGACACACTAGAGTACATGCAAATTCTTGGCAGCTCCAACCCTCATACTGTAGGTGTCCAGCAGAAGCTGGCATTCTTTATCATGGGCCTAAACACCACTTAGCCCAGGAACCAGAGAAATTAAATGAGGACCCAGGAAAAGAAGAAGCATCTACAGACTTGGCTGCTATCTCTCCCCAATGAGCTGAGCCAACAAATAAACAACAACGTGTGAGATATGAAAGTACCTGCCTTGACCATCTGAATGTAAAAAACAAAATGGCTGCTGCTTCACTTCTGTTCTCCAGTGCTCATGAAAAAAATCTCTTGTGTGTCACCCTAACCAGAAACTAAAGGGAATGTGGATTCTAGAAAAAAAGATTTAACATAGCCAAGTTGACAAAGCCAACAAAGTCACCCAAATCCACCTCTGCCAACTTGGCACCCATACCCATCTCTTTAAACCACATTGAATTTCCAGAAAACTCAATAACAAAGTCATGCTTCATCTGACACGATATAATTCATTTGGTACCAAGAATGAATCCAAAAAACAGAATTTTAATGAGGGAAAGGTCTTTGTTATTTTCAGCTATGTAACATATTAACCCAAAACTCTGTGGCTTAAACATTATCTCACAACTTGGGAGAGGCTTAGCTGGGTGGTTCTGGGTTTCAGTCTCTTATGAGATTTCAGTTAAGGGTTCATCTAAAAAAAAAAAAAAAAGACTTCATCTATAGATGCTTTCACCTAGACTTGACTGGGACTAGAGGATCCACTTCCAAGATGGCGCACTCACACAGCTATTGGCAGAGGGCTTAAGTTCCTCAGTGGCTGATAAGAGGAAGAAATGTTAGTTCCTCACCATACAGTTCTCTACATATGGTGCCTGAGTGTTTTTACAACATGGCAACTGGCTTCTCATAGATGAGTGATTCCAGAAAGAATGCAAGGAGAAAGCCACCATGCCTTTGATGATCTAGTCTCAGATGCCATCCATGGTCATTTCAATCATATTCCATTAGCTAAAACAAACCACCAAGTCTCACTCAGGAGGAGAGAAATTAATCTCTACCTTTTCAAAGGAAGACAGCAAAAAATTTATAAATATATCTTTAAACAACTACAATTTTCTACAGGTGGTCATCTATTTTCTAGAAAGAGGCAGCCCAGGTGGCTCAGCGGTTTGGCGCCACATTTGGCCCAGGGCGTGATCCTGGAGACCTGGGATGGAGTCCCACATCAGGCTCCCTGCATGGCGTCTGCTTCTCCCTCTGCCTGTGTCTCTGCCTCTCTCTCTCTCTCTCTGTCTCTGTGTCTCTCATGAATAAATAAATAAAATCTTTAAAAAAAAAGAGAGAGAATACTGAGTACTGTGGTTTTGTAGATTTATTAACAATAATAGGGTCTAGGGGCACCTGCCTGGCTCAGTTGGTTAAGTGTCTGCCTTCAGCTCAGGTCATGATCCCAGCATCCTGAGATCGAGCCCCATGTTGGGTTCCCTGCTCAGCAAGAGTCTGCTTCTCCCTCTCCCTCTGCCTCTACTGCTCTCTTACTGATGCTCACTCTCTCTCTCTTTGAAATAAATAAATACAATCTTTAAAATAAAAATAAAAATAATAATATAATAACAACAACAACAACATCCAGAGCTTTGCAATTCTGTTTTTCTGTAGGGACTTAGAAATTCTTACATCAAATGAGATGATAAAATCCATCAATTTAACTAAGTGACCAACTCCCAATAATACAATCTTTTGCAAACCCCAAATCTTTAATCTCAGGCTGCAAATACTTATTCGCTAGAATCATTCTTTAAGGAAAGTGGGAAAATAACTCTTTTTATGTTGTGCAATAAGACACTACAGACTAAAAAAATAAATAAATAAAAATTTTAAAAAAGACACTACAGACTAAATATTAGAAATAGATGTTTGTATTATTAGCCATAAAAACTTAGAGATTACTGATTATTATGATTTTAAATAATATATAAAATGACAGACTGACAGGTTACCTTGAAATAAAGGATACAGAAAAAAAAAATCTATCAGAAGAACTAGTTTCAGTGTTAAAAAAAAGTCTTATTCCTCAGAACATGAGAGACTCCTAACTCTGGGAAACGAACTAGGGGTGGCAGAAGGGAAGGTGGGCAGGAGGTGGGGTTGACTGGGTGATGGGCACTGAGGGGGGCACTTGATGGGATGAGCACTGGGTGTTATTCTATATGTTGGCAAATTGAACACCAATAAAAATTTTTTTTAAAAGTCTTATTCCTGAAAATTACGAGTTTATTATTTCCTAATATATTTATTATAAAAAAGTAGTGAATATACCAGTGAATAGTCTGGTATATAGTCTTAGAGATTTCTAGATAATATTCATAGTTCAATGCTCACATTTAATGATATTTATGAAAAGAGAGAATAAACAAAAACTAATTTTTTGGATTGGAATACATACCATAATTTAGTCCTCAGGTGAACACAATGCAGATCTTGAATTAAAAGTAGCTACATTAAAAGTGAGCCCTAAAAATCTCACTTATCCAGAAGGGAGAATGAAATGTGGGCCTGATGATCCATCTGGGTGAGCACTGTAGGAAAACTGACATCTTCCCATTCATTATCCAGAAACAGCCAAGCATCATACACATTTTTTCATTTTGTTTTCTGGCTGGGTTTTTGTTTGTCTTTTCAGTTCAATGGTTACTTTCTTTTACCTCAATCCTAGAAAACACTAAGTAAGCTGTGACCAAGTTTCAGAACTATAAATTTGATTAAGAGAAATTTTACTTGAGTTACCAAACATGAACATTGCAAATCATCCCTTGCCCATTTTTACTTGAATAAATATATTTTTTGTTTTCTTTTCTGCAGATTTAGCCTTTGTATAGGGATAACCTTTCCAGGAACATAAGCATCATATAATCTGTAGCTGCTATGGATATTTTGCCCTACACAATGTGGCCAGTTTAACCAGAAGCAAATTTGGTTAGACTATGCTAATTTATGATATTCTAAATTGGCCTTTAGTCATTTCAAGTGAGAATAAGGAAATGTTTAACATCTTTTAAATTGCTTTCTCTCCCTCCTTAGTTACAGATACAAGTGTTCTTCACAATAGATGGACAGTAAAATCATAGGGTACTTAAAACAGAAGAATTTTCATGTCCAAAGTCTGTTACTCCAAGAGCAACAATTGCACCCAAAATAAAATGGCACATTTAGTAAAAAAAAAAAAGATATTAGTAATTTTTCTGGGCAAGTAACCATTTACAATTTGAAATAAAATGTTGTCTTTTCCTGAAAATAAAATTGTTGTTATAGATACTGATTGGTTAAAGTCAGAATATGCAAATTCTTATAATTGCAATATTCACACTCATTCCATTTTTAAGCAAATATGAACCCATAAATTAGATGTTTGAACATAAGAGGATTCAGAGAGGCAAAGAGCAGGAAGCAGACCAGCCAGGGACCATAGATCCCAAAGAACACCACCAGTGGTAAATTCTCAGTGTTCTTTCTGCCTTATGTATTTGGGGCTTGGAGTTGAGACGCTGGCAATTCTGAAACACCAAGAGATACTGACAAAAAAAAAAGAAGAAGAAAGAAAGAAAGAAAGAAAGAAAGAAAGAAAGAAAGAAAGAAAGAAAGAAAGAAAGAAAGAAAGAAAGAAAAAGAAATAAAGCCTCAAGAAAACCATGCTCTGTACAGCAAGGAGGGAAAGAGACGGCCTGACTAGATAGAAAACTTTTACACAATAACAGTTCGACCTAAGCCAAACTCCACAGGAAAAAACCTGCACTTTTATGCCTACTGGCAGGAGCCACGGCCAAGTGGAGAGCCTAGACTCCCATCCTTGGCGAGCTGTAAGGAGGTGACCCTACACTCCCTCCAGAGAGGTCTCAGAGCAAAGAAGAGAGCCAGGACATCCACCCACTGGTCTGTGACATGGCCATCATCCCTCAGGAATCAATGGAGACCGTGGGGAGCCTGGACTTCCACTCCCTGCTGGCAGTTAAAAGGTACCCCCCTTGGGGCACTGTCAGAAAAGACCAAGTAGGAAGTCAGCCTAGCAATGAGGCACCCTATTGTGGTATCAGTGGAGACCACATGGGGAGGAGAACTCACAACCCCACTCATCA